TAAATGGGATAATAGAAAATAATCCTACAACTAATAATGAATGAAGATCAAAGAGTCCAGGAAAGAGAGGAGACAGCAGAAAGAATGGAGGAAAAGATAGAACAGACAAACCAGCAAATAAAGCAAGAAGATGAGAAGGAGAAGATGATAAAGATAATTATGAATGATGAAATAACCAAGGGGAAAGTATCTTAAGAGATTTAAAAATGGAATTGGATAACCTGGAAGACATTTTTGAAAGGGAGATAGGGGCTTGGGTGGACACTCCGGAGACCTGGCAGTTTAGGAGGATAGAGATGGGAGAAATATTCAGACTGAATGGTGAAGTCACAGATGCTGATAAAGATCCAAGAGAGAAGTATGGGAGGCAAGCTATAAAACAAATAAGAATTGAAGTATTAAAATGGGCACGAGATGATGGATAGAAAGGAATGGTTATTTTTTCTTTTTTTCTAATATAATGATGGCCTGATTAAAAACTAGAATAGAGGTAGAAATAAGAATACACACCTTTATATAAACTTTATATAGTTAGATGGAAAGATTGGAGGTTGAAAGATTGTACTATTAGGTATGGTTAAATAATAGGATGATTGGTACTAGAATTGCATACTGAGACTTTGAATAACCAAATAATGAAGGACTATGTCTTAATATAAACACATGTATTAACACTAGGATTAGTAATGGTGGCCTGACTAGAAGCTAGAATACAGGTAGAAATAAGAAATAGGGGGAATATTAGCAGATATAATTATACAGTAGATTATACAAGTCAGAAATTTGCTCATCTTTGATAATTAAATTAGATGTTCTGCTGCAGTATGAGAAAATTGGGAATTACAGATGAAATATTCATTTCTTTCATTTCATCCTGACAATTCACAAGATTTCCTTTTAAATGGCCAAATTAGAATATTGATGGAAAACATGATCTAATTATTATTTTGTATTTTTAACACAAAATAAGTGAACAGGTTACATAGTTTGGATATGACTTTTAATCTGCATAGCTAAATTAGACTTTCAGAAATAGGGCTTTTGTAATGTTTAATCACCTAGCTTTAATTCATTGAAACAGCTGGCAGCCTTTTGATTTTCTTAAAAACAAGCTGTCTTGTCATCTCTTGGGTTAACATGTGTTACTGCCACAGTGAATTCAAACTTTTACTATTCATTTGCCTACCTAAATAAACTATGTGACACATCTTCAATCATTGTCTTGGGTTTGCTTGATTCTGAGTCTGTTTCTCATGTTCCAGAACCAAAGGATTGTCTTTCACCATGTTTAACCACCTCTCTTGCTTTTAATGAAAAAAGATCATATGATCTTTTCATATTTCTATGAAAAAAAATCCGTTCTGCCTCTGTATTCTTTCTTTGGCACCTTAATAAAGCTCTTCCATGGAAGCTTTATAACATCTTTCATTCTGTAGTAAAAGTCATACAAATGCGTTAAACTTCTCAGCTATACTGTGAACTCAGTTCTCCAAAGCTGTGAATATACCCATTCCTCATTTAGTGACAATTTCAATTAGTGACCATTCACAAATGTGTTAGTAATTAAAAATAAATTTCAACCACTGTGTGCATTTATGACCATATTTCAGGCACCTGACAAAAATGCATGTTGGAGTGGGAGTAATGCTGGCAGCTGCATGTAAAAACTTTAAATGAGATGGCACCAACCAATGATCTTCCCAGTCTCTGTCCCTCTCTCTCGCCCATATGTTCACTTAGCAACCATTTTGCTTAACATCCTGGTTGTTGAACTAGAGTTGGTCATTCAATAAGGAGTGAGTATATTCAAAGATTATATTAAAGTTGTTGACCTTTTCTCAGAATCCTAGAATTGTATGAGGCTCAGTTGTTTATGTTGTTAAGTATTGCAGATTAAATCTAGCAGCTAGCCTGCTAATTTGCTTGCTTGCTCGCTTGCTCACTCACTCACTCACTCACTCACTCACTCACTCACTCGTAAATTTGAGACCCCAGAGCATTGTGCTAAAATTTTTCGGGAACATTTTAGACAAAATTAAATACTCTACACCAGGGGTGTGAAACTCACAGCATCACATTATTGTCACATGACGTTTTGTGACTTTTTTCCCCTTCGCTAAAACAGGGGTGGGCATGGCCAACACGTGACACATTCAGCCCGCGGGCCACTAGTTTGACACCCCTGCTCTACACACTTTGGCAGTTTCACTTTCATATCTTTTTCCTCTAACTCATCTTTGTATTATTATCTCAAATTAATTGGAGTTCTAAAGCTTTTTATTTTTACTTATTACAAATTCAGTTTTGTTATCAATGTTTGGCAACAAAATCCATAACAATAGCTTGCCAGTTTGGATTTTATATCATTGACTCAGAACAGTTCTTGGTAACTCGTTACTTAAAATTTTATTAAACTAAGGTGACTATTCTATCTTAAATTTGTGACCAAAAGTCTTGTTTCTAAATAATAAACTATATCCTGCATGAATATCTAAGGATGGGTAACAAGCAGAATGATACTTCCTTTGATATGGACAGGGGGTATTCCAAAATAAGCTATCTATTCCCTTTGCATTTTTCCATCTTTCTCTTAAAATCACTGCAATTTTAACCATTCTGCTCCTCTGATCCATTCAGTACCATCAAAACTGCAATAAACTTTGATAGCTATAATTTTCCAATCTCTGTTTCATTATTTTTCTAGTACTTTCATCATTCCTTTTTGGCAAATTCTGATTTTCTGCCTCTTTCTATTTTCACCACTGTTAGTAATGGTGCTTTACTAATTATACCAATATACTGACCTTAGATTTTTTAAAAAATGTATTAAATAAAATTGAGTTATTTTATCATACGTTTGTATGAATGAGCTCATTTCCTCAGTCTGTGGAAAAACAGTTTATGATCAGCTGTGTGCAAACAAATTTGCCAAAGATCACTATATTTCTGGGTTGGTAGGTAGATACAAGTCAATAGTTTTTGCTGTATTTTATACCAACTGCGCAATAGATTGAACTGCCATGTTTCAGTTTTTTGAAGAGCTGCTTTATATTTCTTAATCTTTTATGCCTAGAAAATTAATTATATCCAAGCATTTTTTTCTTCATTATGTATAACTTACTTCTTGCAATCATTCTTGGTATATTTTGCATATTTTAGTAGCCTCTTAATTCCTATTTAAGATTAAGTTTGTGGCAGGTGACATGAACCCAAGTTGAGGTCCTCAGGATATGATATGCATCTGTCTGCCAGATTCATGTTTCTTACATGAATTGTAAGACCTTTCAAATTCCTATGCCTTATCATGTTTCCCAGTTAATAGCTTCTGGCAAAACATGGGAGCCAGCTGTTTCACCTTCAAGAAATTAATCATCTTTTAACCCTCATGTAGTGTACAAATACACTCCTTCCTTCAGCTGTCCAATGCAAAATATTTAATGATTTATTCTCAAGCAAACAGCTTTCCAGAAAAGAAGCGCTAAGTTTAGTATTTAGGAAGATGATTTACCAGTCTAAACTTCAGTTTTAAGTACTTAGACTTGCTGGAACCAGGGTTTCAGGTTGCAACAGTCACCCAAATTTTCAAGACCGGAGATGAATAAATTAAGCTAAAAACAGTATAGTATTAATTGAGAACAATTTGCTCTGTTAGTATCCATAAATTTGTTTATGGTAACAAATCATTGAAACAAATAATTTTATTTTAAAATTTGAATTTTAAAACTGTTACACCCACATGATTATTATTCATAGGAAGATCAGATAGGAAAACTGTTATTAATATTCTTAAAAATAGTTTATACTGTAATCTGGTTTACCTAGCATGTCAATTAAAGGTATCAGTTTTAACTGAAATCAATTCGGGAGATTTTTTTAAAAAATCTAACAAATATGTGCATGAAAACCATGTATATATTGTGTACATGGGGGAGAGAGTACACATATGCACAAAACACAGATACATACAGAATCAGACTTCTCAAAGCAAAAATGCCAGGAAGAAAGATTAAATGAAGGTCATACTTTAAAATCAATTGCCAATATGTTATGTTATGTTATGTTATTATGTTATGTTATTTATACACACATATACATACACACACACATATATATATTCATAATTTTTATTACATGAATTTGTATGCTACCCAGTTGCAAGGAGTATATAGACTATATAACAACACAAAAACCCCAACCTCTTTTAATCTCTCATACAACTGTCACAGCTACAACACTGAACAGTATTTAAATTCAGACAAAAGGCACCATTATCATCATCATTAACTCATAAATACCTATTAATCAGGATAAGATTGTTCATTTTTCCAAATGCCAAAAATGAATGAGAAGCTAAGCTCTTCCATAGTGTCAGTGACACCACAAAGATGGTTTGCCTCTGGTCCCTGATATCCTTGATTTCCCATAGGGTGAGGATCCTGAAAAAACCCCTATCGAATGATCACACAGGATAGGTGGCTTCTAGTCAAACAAGACAGTCCCAAAGTAAGTAGGAGTGAGTTATAGTTGTAGTACCTTATAGAAAAACATTACCAGTTTGAATTGAACAAAGAAAGATAATCAGCAATCAATATAGAAGTTATTCTGCCAAAGTAGGTTACACAATCCAGGGCACCACATTTTGAACCAATATATCATTCATACAACCCTTCCCTTCCTACACAACTTACTTACATATATACATTTTTATTTCGAGACTAAGCAATACTGAACTCTGTTGGCATGTTACCCTTGACTTTTAAAACACTTTTTCAATTTGAAGGAATTTGAAATATGCCAGCTACATTCATTCGGAAATGCAGAGATGCATATATTGCTATTCTAAATATGATTCCTCGGTATTTATATTGCAATTATATAGTGTAAATTGCTCATGAAGGGAATATTGGATAACCATTATGAAGAGGAAGATTTTGGGAAATTGATCTCTAATTTGTTAACAAATTGGAAAGAATTGATCTTTATTTTCTTTTTTGGGAAAGAGTCCTCGAGATGAAAAGGGATTAAAAGGTGCAAAAGGAGAAAAAGTAAGTAATCAATTGCTATTGATAGTTATGATTGTTTAGTTTATTTTTTATATGGGATTTCTGGAAATTAAAAGTGGGTTTCATTCTTGCCAAAACCTTTAGAAACAGAGAGCAAATCTGGATTTGAGTGAAAGCGTCCTAATAAATATTGAGTTTAACTTGTACTCTGTCACAGGGAGAATATTCTGAAAAAGGAGAAAAGGGGGATTCAGTAAGTACAGCTCAAAATTCCCTTTATGTTTACAGGAACCTGTGAGTATTTCTAATACTTAACAATACATTTAGAATTTCTTTGTAGATAAAATGTGAAGTTTGTGTGTTATCGTCATACCCAAGTAATTGCAGTTATAGGAAGATAGAAGGTAATCTAGTTTGGACAATTATCTCTGGAAGAGATCCATAACTTGGAGAAATCAGTTCATGACCTACCTATGTTTGCACTTGCATTCTTTCATATCTTTTTTTTTTTCAGATGAAACATTTGCATAAGGATCTATGCTTAGATTCCCATTATGCAAATATTTCTGAAATTATATTGTTTTCATCTTTGGAACTCTGTGCCTTGGATTTTAAATGTATAGGCCTTATGGAAAAGCTACATCCAGTTGTGAACATCTGACAGATTTGGCAGTTGAATTTGTTGCCACTACTATATGTAATTCAATTATCATGTAATATAAATTAATTTCATCTTGCCAGATTTACAGATCAAAGCATTTATTTGCTCCAGAAGTATTTGTGAAGGGATGACAGTACCTTAATTACTGATCTGAGCAAATGCTCAAGGATTCTTTTCTTCATTATTGATGAACTGATGATACTCATTGATCATGGTTACTTCCGGTGAAAGTGATGAATTATATCCAATATTATTTATTTATTTATTTATTGGTTCAATTTATATGCCGCCCTTCTCAGGGAGGCTTACAATGCGTTAAGTAATAGCCTTCATACTTTTGTATATACCTGCTTAGTAGGGCTTTTAGCCCCCCCCTAAGCCGTGTTCTTTTTTATACAAAGTCAGTTTTATCCTTATTCTGGGGCATGTTCCCTATGCTTCTAGCAGTTCTCAAATGCTAAGGTTAAATTTTAGCCATATGGAAACTATAATGACTAAGTGATGATACCACTTTTAGATAGCAAGTTCACATGACAAAAGTACACATGTAACATTTGCACATCCGCAAAGAAAACACTTCAAAAGTTGTCTTATAATCAGAACTACAAACCAAAAACTAGAGATATACAAAAATCTTTACCGTAGATAATAAGTTTGTCTTGATCTTGATTTGTCTTCTACATTTATGCAAAGCCATGGATCACAAGGGCCACCTTTACAATAAGTGGATAAATGCTGTATATAAATAGAAGTCATCTACTAGTATATCACCATTGGGAACATTTTGCAAAGAAATTATACCAACAGGTTCTGGAGTTAAACTACTTGGCTTGCAAGGGATTTCACTTGATCTATAGACATTAGAAACATAATGTAGTGTGTCATTAGTATATATACTTACCAACTCTACAGTTTCATCTCTAAAGATATATAACTTATCTTTCTTAAAATGTTGTTTTAGGGCGAAGTAGGGGAGCCTGGTCTTCCAGGGTCTATTGGAAATCCAGGACCTCCGGTATGTAAATTATATTTAATGAACAGTGTACGAATTTCTCTTACAATCCAGTAATGGGAACACCATTGATAGCCAGTTCTGTTGTCCTCTGAATGAATTAAACTCTTGTATGTTTCTGTCTCTGTATGTTTCCTAACTACACCTGTATGAAATGCCAAAATATATTTAAAATATATAAATGTTCATAGTATTCCTACTAGCATTTTGAAAGTTAAATCTGATAATAGTTGAAATAATATAGAAAATGTATAAAATTTCATAATGATCTTCCATAACAGTTTTAAAATCCAACCTGATTGTAATTGAACATATGTTTATACAATTGTACAGTTGGAAATATCTTTGAGATCGTTGTTCAATATAGATACCTATATTTTCCAAGCTTTCCTCATTTTAAAGATAGTGACAACTTTATTCTCCTACAATCTTTTAAATTGTCGTAACTCCTCCAGAAGTCCTCAAAGTTTATCAAGAGAAGTGCTCTGCTAAACTACAGTAACCAAATACCCCATCCAATAATGCCATGTATTTCAGCAACATCTGGAGGCCCACAGATTTTCCCCCCCAAACTAAAGTTTAGAATGCTACTTCTTCCCAAAACAAAGAACATGCATTTTATTTCATTCTATTTATAGAATAATGTGCATTTTAACCTTCAGTTTGCATACGTAGTAACAGGTAGTCAACAGAAAACCCACCAATTAAAATAAAACTGAAATAGGTTTATAAAGATGCACGAAAAATAAGACATCAGGTTGAAATAATAAAATCAATGTCAGCAATATTATTAGAGATGACTAGATTACATGAAGGGAGGCATCAATTTCAGAGGAAGGAATGGCTCCATGCCATGGACATTTTATAAGAATGACACTACAGCTGAAAAGCCTTTTTTGTTTAATACCCATTTTTTCTCATGAAGTGGAGAAGTGTGAGGACAGCTTCTGAAAATTAATACAGGTAGTCCTCTATTTACAACAGTTCATTTAATGACCATTTGGAGTTATAGCAGCCCTGAAAAAAGTGACCTATGACGATTTTTCACAGTTATGACTGTTATAGCATCCCCATGGTCATGTGATCAAAATTCAGAAGCTTGGCAACTGACTCATAATTATGATGGTTACAGTGTCCCAGAGTCATGTGATTACCTTTTGGGACCTTCTGACAAGCAAAATCAATGGGGAAGGCAGATTCACTTAACAACTGGGTTATTAATTTAACAACTGCAGTAATGTGGTAAGGAAAGTCATAAAATAAGGCAAAACACATTTCTCACTTAGCAATATAGATTCTGGGCTCAATTGTGGTCATATGTCGCAGACTACCTGTACTGGATAAATAGCATCACTTCCTATTTCCCATGTTTCTTAAAAATTGAAAAGAAATCTCTCAATTAATCCAAGATCAGTCTGGAGATTTAGTTTCCTTTTTTGACTCAGCAATTGACAAAAGGATCCTTGAATTCAGACATAGAGGAACACCTAAGTCTAGAACAGGGCTGTCAAACTTGCAGCCCGCAGGCTGGTTGTATCACGCGCTGGCCACGCCCGTGCCTGGTTTAGCAAAGGGGGGGGAGTCACAATACTTCCCATGATGACACCGTGACAATGCGAGTTTGACACTTCTGCTCTAGATAGTTCTTGTTTAGTGACCAGCAACTCATTAAGCAAAGCCATTGCTAAGTGAAACGTCATGATTCTACGATTTCACTTCAGTGTTCCTTTCTTTAACAGATTTGTGAAAATCATAATGCAAGGATTGATTACGAAGTTACTTTTTAATTACTATAGTAACTGAATCATTGCTAAACAAGGCACTCACTAAATGAGGACTTACCTGTATTACATTTTCTGTTGCATGCAGTGGTGTGGCTTCTGGAAATCAGGTAGTCTTCTAATTAGAACAGTGTTTTTCCCTTTTGCATGTAGACATTAGCAAAATCAAAATATTAGACTATTTTTGCGCCAATTTCAGTGTATTGATTTTTGTATCTTTAAACAGTAAAGAATTTTATATCTGTTACTCAGAGGCTAGCATTTTCATGTATTTTCTTCAGATATAACCCTTTATTAAAAAGAATAGTATAAATATATGGAGGGTTATTTATCTTTCTCTCCCTTTTCTAAAAATTTCATACTTATCATAATGTTTTAGGGATTTCCAGGACCACCTGGCCCCAGAGGATCTTCAGGAGAAATGGCAAGTATCATACTGCTCATAAGAATTATTCAAGTAAAATATTAACCAATGAAATAATAATATTAAACTGTTGGTGATCTCCTTTTACAAGGTATATGAAAGAAGTAATCAATGTGCAAAGATTTAGAACCAGGCATACTGAGGTGCTCCATGATAACAATTTATGCTTTCACACTTTCACTCATCCCATCAAGTGTGGTAATAAATCACTAAGGCAGACAGTATTTATATCACCACAACAATGGCTAGGTGATCCTGTAAAATTGCTACCGTAGAAGGCCTCAGTAGCTTTATAGCTATACCTTTGGGTAGTTACGAATATGCCATTCTATTTCTGCGTCTTTGTACTGTTACTAAGAAGGTCAGCCTTAATCATTATTTTAACAGTTTACAGTATAAATATAGATTGGCATATTTTTATTAGCACTTTGGTTCAAAAAACATTTTTTTCAGAAGAATGCAGCTAGAGGCTTGAATGTTGCTAAGATCCCCAGTTTGTTGCCTGGCAGATGGGGAAACCAATATGCCTATCTATTAGTGATTAATTAAAACTAATTTTATATAACTCCAAGTATATGCAAACACTTATCTGGTTTTCAGGTCAACTTCCTTTCATCTACTACCTATTCACTACTCCAGTAATATAAGCCATGATGCCAATTCTTACTTCTGGCAGGAACAGTAGACAAATTCTGAAATGTCCTACTTCTATATTTCTGATATCGCTTATCACGATTTTTTCCCTTTACACATTATCTGCTAAATGAAATAGTGCTTCTTAAATACATAACTTTGAAATATTCAGTTCTTTCTGTGCAGTCACATTGTTAAGATGTTTTTTCACTTTTCCCCCCAGATTTTTCATTTCCCACACTCAAGCTTTTGATCTCTCTGTCTTATTTATTTGAATTGTATAACTATCCTTGAATTCATGTACCTGCATCTTTCTTTTGATATTGGATTCAGCATGGACATGCCAAATTCAATCTTGGGTTCATCTGGCTTTAGACCTGTTCTCATGACTTTATCTAGCCCTTTTCCTGCTCCATTTTGTTGCATTCATTTCCAAGCCCAAAGACTTTCTTTCATTTTCTTGAATCACATTCCTACCCTATTTCCTTATATACATTTGTGCTTCCATGTATATTTACATGAAGTTCGCATTTAAGATTCACATCGGTCACAGCTCAGCCTCAGAATAATTAAGCATTACTCGTTTAATTAAGGTACTTCTCAGGTGTTACAACCTTTGAATTGGGTCCAAAGGCCATAACTGTCTTCTCAATTGTCTCACCATTATTTATGTTAGCTACAGTTCCAAGAGCATTCAACCTCAGGAAGAGATTTTGTTTTTAGACTTCCTAATTCACCATCAGTAGAAATGGATTATGAGGTTGTAGCTGCCAAGAAAAGTTGAATTCAGATACTCATGAAATTCACTCAGAAATTTTAGGCAAGTGAAATGTTACCACACTAGTTTACTTATTACAAATTTTAAAAACAGTGAGGTACACATAGTTAAATGTAAGAGGATGAAACATAGATTTTTTTTCTCATCTATATGATGAGCAGAACATAGTAATTCAAAACTAGTTTCTTTAACATTCCTATGCATTTATAAATGACTTCCTTGATCAACAAAAAATCAAAGTCTGTGAGTTTCACCTTACACAGAAATGAAATAAAAGTGTTTTTGCTACAGTGGAAATAATTCCTTTTTCTCTGGTAAATTCATACGACACATTTTGCTATTTCCAGTGATTAGACAGATAAAAGATAGACAGACAGACAGACAGACAGACAATGTATAAAGATGACACACTTTACTTTCTTTTAATCAAATTAATTGTAAAGCGTCAAAGCTATTTAGTTTTCTGCTTGTCTTCTTTAGAATTTATTTTAGAGTGTTTACACACATAATATAAATCTAAATAGAACTCTAAAAAATGGACTATTTGTTCAGATATATTCTAATTTATTTCATGTTATGTTCCTTTATTTAAGGACAGAGATAAAAAGAAAATAAGGATAGGTAATAAAGTCAATGTGGTTGAGGCAAAGTTGTCTTGGAAAAATTTTTACCATGCAATTATGTCTGCTTCCTTCATTAAAGCCTTTAAATACATAAGGTTTAAAAAATTGTCTCATGCTTTGAAAGCAAATTAAAAAACAAATTTATGTCAGATAAACAAAATCTGATTTTATGATCATGTTTAATAAGACCAAGATCAGATTACAATTTCTTAAACAATTCATTTGCCTTAGTAATATCTAGCACCATCTACAAAAAAGGAAAGATAATTTAGTGCTTATGTTTTACCCTATATCTGTTTTAAATGTACTAATCATTTTTAAAAGAAAGAGTGAACAAACAAAAAGAAAACAATAAGAAAAATATTAATTTTCTATAGTACGATAATAAGTGGGCAAAGGAATTACCAAGATTGTAAAGTTAGCACTCAGTATATTTTTGATTAGAAATTACATTTAAGTATATTATATTATTTTAACAATATAAGTAAGAATTTAAATTTTTGAGCTTAGTGCCAAAATTTCCACTATTTGTTGTTTAAAAATACAAAAAATAAAGAAAAAAGAAGATAAAATTACTGAAAACACCTTAAATATTAGTTAATGGTTTACTTGTCTCAGGTTTCAATCTTTTAGTCAATTCTTTTTCCCTTTAAATACTGTACTCTAGACAAATATATTTATTTATTTATTTGTTTTAATTTGTATACTGCCCTTCTCCAACAGGACTCAGGGCCTTGCTGCATAATATATAAATGTAGAGAAACCAGTCTTGTTAATCTTCCATTTTCCTAAGCCACAAATAAACATAATTCTTCTTATTCCATTGTTTTATAGAGCATAAATGTTTTAAATAGAATTTGTATTCTTTGAATTGTGCCTGTCATTCCACGAAAGGAAAATTTTAGTCAAGTCCACTATATATTAGAAGTATTTTTTCCAGAATTACTCCTCTTTTAATAGATAATTACCTATAAAGTCCAAGAAAATATACTTTTCTTTTTAATTTACTAGGGCTTACCAGGAGAACATGGAATACCTGGAAAACCAGGGATTAAAGGAGAAAAGGTAATTTTTAAACCAATATCAAATAATTACATGTATTTTCAATATATCTGTTCCAGTTACTGTATGGGTTTTATCTTGTCCACCTCAGATAGGTTCAATATTCTATATTTTGCTATCTTATTTGTTGAAAAAAAAAATGACTGCAATGAATATTTTTAAACTGAGGCAATGTTTCAAATTGAATGATAAATTTTGGGTTAGTTAATACCTATCAACTGAAGAGAGCAAAAGTAATATCTGACTTCATTCAGTTCTCCATATGTTTTTTACTACCAGTTCTGTGGGCGTGGTTTGGTGGGCGTGGCAGAGGAAGGATACTGTAAAATCTCCATTCCCACCCCACTCCAGGGGAAGTTTACTGTAAAATCTCCATTCCCTCCCCACTGCAGGGGAAGGTTACTGCAAAATCCCCATTTCCTACCGATCAGCTGGGACTTGGGAGGCAGAGAATAGAAGTGGTATTTACTGGTTCTCCAAACTAATCAAAATGTCCGCTACCAGTTCTCCAAAACTGGTCAGAACCTGCTGAATACCACCTCTGATGGTCATCTCCCCTCCCCCTTTGCCAAAAAACAGCCAGAAAACAATTGCAACATTAGGAGTCTCCAGCAAAGATTTGTTCTTTTGTTTTTGGAGAGTTTCTGGTTGGAATGGATTTTTTTTTTAAAAAAATATTGCTAATACAAGCAATCCCACTAGTTTAGGTCCAACAACAAGGATGATATAAAAATCATTTGACTAAGGCTACTTGAGAATATAGCTAAAAAAAGTGGCTACCTATATTGGCAAGTGGTTTGACAACACAGGAAGAATGTGGAGATAAAATAATTCAGTTAATTTAAATATGATACATTAATCTGGCTCTTGTAACTTCCTATCAAATTGTTTTCATCTATATTACATAGGGAGACTCTGGTGGAATCATAGGCCCACCTGGGCCTCCAGGTTCTAAAGGTGACACAGGGCCTCCAGGATTAAGTCTTCCAGGAAAACCAGTAAGTACCATTAAGTATTCTATTGCAGAAAAGACTATGAGGTCAACAGAAGAAAAATTCCAACCACAAGTGGAATTACCAGCATTGCATATACTATTTCATTCAGGGCAAGCAATGTTATGTAGAGTACAGAAAGGAAAAAGAAATAATATGTCAAAAAATTCAAAAGTATGACATAAGAAAAAGAAAACCTAGCTAAAACTAGTTTTCACCAACACTATTTATTATATCTCTCCTTACCTTTCTATTCTTGCAAATCATCCTTTCTTCCATCATGTCCATACAACATTTCATGCATTGCCTTTTGATGTCCCAAAGCACCTTTGGGATAACCTCGACCTGGATGATTGAGAATTTCCATAAACACAATATCCATTGTTCTTTTACCTAGCACTGAGTATTTTCAAAGATATACTTGTGTAACTCAGAGCCATAAGTAATGAGCTTTTTGAAAAGATCTCTCTGGGGCAAACAGCTGCAGATAACTCCATTTTGTAAGTTATTCAGTTCTACACATTTCTAGTCTTCCCCCACCATAATTCCCTTTGTTACTTCTCATAAATAATTATCTCATCAATTATTGTGAAACTAAAACAGAAGTGAATAATTATCATTATAAGATATCTTATTTGGTTTTGCACAATAGGACATCTGGGTCTTAAATTGATTTTTTTCCTGTCAATTTAAGAATTCTTTTTATTTCCTAATTACACAAACATATATTTTATTTGTTTGTTTCACATTTTTGAACTGCCCATCTTCCTCGGGGAGGGTCTGTGAGCAGTGTACAATAAGTGTTAAAATATAAAAACAGCATATAAAACTTAAATTAGAAAATTCAGAATTTAAAAGGCAAGGATGATTAAGATCTGTTACAAACTAGTTCAAAAGGTGAAGGAGGGCTCTCAGGGCACCAACCAACCCCACAGCTATGTGTTCCCCTAAGCTCCCCAAATGAGGCTGCAGAGCCATGTTTTAACTCCTTTCTGGAAGGCCACAAGAGTTGGGGACATGTCTCAGTTCCGGGGGGTGAATATTCCATATGGTAGGGGCAAGGGCAGAGAAAGCTCTCTTCCTACACCCCACCAATTGAAGTTATTTAACTGACAGCATCTGTAACATACCTTCTCTGCCAGATGGATGGGTTGGTGTATTGGAAAAAATACGATTCCCATAAGTAGCCTGGCCCTATGTCATGTAGGGATTTATAGGTCACAACCAACTCCTTAAAATGGACCCAAAAGTAAACTGGCACCCAATACAATTCATGAAGCAAAAAATTTTCATTCACCCTTCTTGGGGCATCCAGAATTGCTTGTGTGGTCTCATTCTGCCCTAATATGCAAAGCTTTCTCTCTTCATCTTTTTCTCCCCTATTTTAGGGATTAGCTGGCATTCCTGGGACAATAGGTCCACGAGGGCCTAAGGTAGGGAAAGCCTATTCTGATCCTGTATTTTAATTGTTTGGAGTCATGCTTTGATTCAAAGATTTTTAAAAAAACAAAGGCTTGTTCTTTTATCAGGGAGAAAGAGGGCTCCCTGGAGTGCAAGGTCCTCCAGGAGAGATAGGGTCAGCAGGGAATGGAACCCCAGGACTACCTGTAAGTATACGTTTTGTTTTGTGCTCCTTTCACCCTATTATTAACATGGATGTTGTTCTGTAATTGCTTGATAGATGCAACACGGATGGCAACTCTACCTGTAATATATGATTTCATGTGTATAGTTTTCTTTTCCTCTGTAAAGAAATGATAAAATGGGTCTACACTTGCTAGCATGTCTGAATAGAATGGCTAAATAAAATTGTTGCTGTTTGGGTTTTGTGACTGTCAAGGGAATGGAGAGAAAGGAATTATGTATTGCTGCCTAGCAAGGCAATTGTTCCTGTCTCTTCCCAGGGTGCAACTAAGCCAGAAGCACAGGTCTGCACATATCTACTTAGGGATAAAGATGCCTTTGGGTCATATTATTCTCCTAAGCATGTCATTTGAAAAGGAGTAGTTTTGGGAGGGAAATTCTCTGTTATTTTATACAGTTATGAATGCCATGTTTTGTATATTTTACATTTGCATTTAAGTCTTAAATCAGATAGTAAACTGCTCTCTTCAGCAAAGGTTCTTAAATTCCAGAACCACCTAAAAGAAAAGATGAATTTCTGTAACCTTCCCTCATAAATAAATAATAGCTAAGTAAATAATAATTTTAAAAACTGCTAGCAGAGGGTTTTGACAGATGGCCTGAGCTATAGGTATTTTGATAGCTCTCCTGCTTTGCCTGTGGAGTTTAATCATTCATCCTCTAAATTGCTAATAACCCCACAGAGGGCTTTGACCAATATCTTGAGAAGCTTTACTCAACAGTAAAATGTTAATAGGGATGACATATGAAAGGAATGTATAGATGGATGGATGTGGATGGATGGATGTTTAAAAAATTTACTCCTCCTCCACTTACAAAGAGCCATGTCTTCAGAGTAGAGTGCCTCATGCAAAGATTTGCAGAATCTCTAAGCAGAGCAAGAAAAACTCCATACTAAGATCCCCGAGGGCAACTATCAATCTGGATGGATGGTACTAAATTAGGCTCAACAATGATCTGACTGGTGAAAACAGCTTCCTATCATGATTTCCAATATTGTATTCTGCTGAAATCAACAGATCTGGCTAAGAAGAATCTTAGCCTCAAGTGATACATTTATGCTGATGAATAACCAGACATGAGGTCCAGCTCTATCTCTTTGATATCCTGGGTGGGTTTTTTACTTGAGCGAGTTTTCAATAGTAATAATAACCCCCTTTTTTTTGACAATGAAGATGATGATGATGATGATGATGATGATGATGATGATGATGATGATGATTGTATTCACTCATTGCTTTGTTTTTCAGGGTCTTAAAGGGCCTCCTGGGACACCAGGATTCCAAGTAAGTTATTTCATAAGAAATCTGGGTCAATACTTTTATTGTGCTTATTGTGTAAGTCTTCCTTGATACCTGATGCTCCAAATGTTCCTTCCACAGGGACCAAGAGGGCCTCCTGGATTACCTGGAACTCCTGGAACTCCTGGCCTTGATGTAAGTGCTAATAAATATATGGTAGTAATATCTTCTTGAACAAAAGCAATACAACAACAACAACCGCTGCCTGTTTTTATGTACATTTAGGGTATTCCAGGTCGAGATGGAAAGCCAGGAATCCCAGGCCCTCCAGGTGACCCAGTATGTATATAAACTAATTCGACTCTCTTACACTGAAGGCAAATTTATCTAAAATCACTAAAATTTGAATACAGATAGCCCTTTAGTTGCAACAGTTCATTTAGTGACTGTTCAAAGTTAAAATGGCACTGAAAAAAAGTGACCTATAACCATTTTTCACATTTACAACCATTGCAACAACCCCATGGTCACGTGATCAAAATTCAGCTGCTTGGCAACTGACTCATTTTATGACCGTTGCAGTTGCAATGTCCCATGTCCCAAAACTGTGATCACTTTTTGTAACTTTCTGATAAGAAAAGTCAATGGGGAAGCCAGATTGACTTAACAACTGCATTACTAACTTAATAACTACAGTGATTCACTTAACAACTGGCAAAAAAGAACATAAAATGGGGCAAAATTAACTTAATAACTGTCTCACTTAGCAGCAGAAAGTTGGGCTCAATTGTGGTTGTATATATATATATATATATTTACAGTCAGGTCCAGAAATATTGGGACATCGATACAATTCTAACATCTTTGGCTCTATACACCACCACAATGGAGTTGGAATGAAACAAACACGATGTGCGTTAACTGCAGACTGTCAGCTTTAATTTGAGGGTATGTACATCCAACTCAGGTGAACGGTGTAGGACTTACAGCAGTTTGCATATGTGCCTCCCACTTGTTAAGGGACCAAAAGTAATGGGACAATTGGCTTCTCAGCTGTTCCATGGCCAGGTGTGTGATATTCCCTCATTACCCCAATTACAATGTGCAGATAAAAGGCCCAGAGTTCATTTCAAGTGTGCTATTTGCATTTGGAATCTGTGGCTGTCAACTCTCAAGATGAGATCCAAAGAGCTGTCACTATCAGTGAAGCAAGCCATCATTAGGCTGAAGAAACAAAACAAACCCACCAGAGAGATAGCAAGAACATTAGGCATGTCCAAAACAACTGTTTGAAACATTCTCAAAAAGAAGGAATGCACCGGTGAGCTCAGCAACACCAAAACACCTGGGAGACCATGGAAAACAAGTGTGGTGGATGACCAAAGAATTCTTTCCCTGGTGAAGAAAACACCCTTCACAACAGTTGACCAGATCAAGAACACTCTCCAGGAGGTAGGTGTATGTGTGTCAAAGTCAACAATCAAGAGAAGACTTCACCAGACTGAATACAGAGGGTTCACCACAAGATGTAAACCATTGGTGAGCTTCAAAAACAGGAAGGCCAGATTAGAGTTTGCCAAACAACTTCTAACAAAGCCTTCACAGTTCTGGAACAAGATCCTATGGAGAGATGAGACCAAGATCAAGTTGTACCAGAGTGATGGGAAGAGAAGAGTATGGAGAAGGAAAGGAATTGCTCATGATCCTAAGCATACCACCTCATCAATGAAGCACGGTGGTGGTAGTGTCATGGCGTGGGCATGTATGGCTGCCAATGGAACTGGTTCTCTTGTACTTATTGATGATGTGACTGCTGACAAAAGCAGCAGGATGAATTCTGAAGTGTTTCGGGCAATATTATCTGCTCACATTCAGCCAAATGCTGCAAAACTCATTGGACGGCACTTCATAGTGCAGATGGACAATGACCCAAAGCATACTGCAAAAGCAACCAAAAAGTTTTTGAAGGGACAGAAGTGGAATGTTATGCAATGGCCAAGTCAATCACCTGACCTGAATCCCATTGAGCATGCATTTCACTTGCTGAAGACAAAACTGAAGGGAAAATGCCCCAAGAACAAGCAGGAATTGAAGACAGTTGCAGTAGAGGCCTGGCAGAGCATCACCAGGGATGAAATCCAGCGTCTGGTGTTCCAGACTTCAGGCTGTGATTGACTGCAAAGGATTTGCAACCAAGTATTAAGAAGGGAAAGTTTGATTTATGATTATTATTCTGTCCCATTACTTTTGGTCCCTTAACAAGTGGGAGGCACATATGCAAACTGCTGTAAGTCCTACACCATTCACCTGAGTTGGATGTACATACCCTCAAATTAAAGCTGACAGTCCGCAGTTAACGCACATTGTGTTTGTTTCATTCCAACTCCATTGTGGTGGTGTATAGAGCCAAAGATGTTAGAATTGTGTCGATGTCCCAATATTTCTGGACCTGACTGTGTATGTATGTATATGTGTATGTATGTATATATATCCCTAAAAGGGTAGAAGCGACGTTTCAGCAGAATCCCATCTGCCATCATCAGGCTTATGCCAGTAGTCATTTTGCACTAACTGACGTTGGAATTTCAAATCTGGTGCTGGTATTCTGGGATGGCTCAGGAAGAACAAGAGGAACAAAACAATGGGAAAGCCATCTTGCCCTATATAAGGGGAACAACAGATAAAATTAGCAAAGTACTACAAAAACACAACATCAAAACCATATTTTGCACAGATAGAAAGATATCGTCCATTCTGAGAAACCCCAAAGACAAAATAGAATTAGAAGATCAAGGCATATATGAAATCCCATGTGCTTCCTGCCCATCAACATACATTGGACAGACCAACAGAAGAATGAGTGTGCGCATCGAGGAACACAAAAACTCAATACAAAAGCAAGAACACACATCATCATTAGTTCAACATATAAATACAACAGGACACAACATTAATTTTAATAAAACAAAAACAGTTGCAAAAATAGAACATCTCAATGGCAGGATAATCAGAGAAGCAATAGAAATGGAAAAAAGACCATATTGCATGAATAAACGGGATGACACTTCACGTCTGCCTACTATTTGGAAACCTGCTCTCATAGATAGACGAATCTTGACACCATATGTGGAACATGGACCAAACATTGCACAAAAAAATCCCAACCAAATCATATTCAAACCAGCCACAAAGATAAAGCCCTGCCACCTAGTGGAGAAAAACCGACCATACACCCGAAGCCAAGCCAATAAACACATACTGGGACTCCCAACCAATCAGAATGAAAAGGTGGAGCCATCCCAGAATACCAGCACCAGATTTGAAATTCCAACGTCAGTTAGTGCAAAATGACTACTGGCATAAGCCTGATGATGGCAGATGGGATTCTGCCGAAATGTCGCTTCTACCCTTTTAGGGATATATCCACAATTACACGGGAAGAAACCCGAAATATTAACTATACACACATACATACCCGTGAAAACTTACATAAACAAATATATATATATATATATATATATATATATATATATATATATATATATATGTGTGTGTGTGTGTGTGTGTGTGTGTGTGTGTGTGTGTGTGTGTCAATTATTTACATTTGAAGAGTTGAAATTATCTTAGAATCAATTCCTTAAATGATCCCTACATTGCTAAAAAAGATATAAACTGAGGTAGCCCCCATAACTTGACTTTTAAAGGTCTCCTGGATATATTATATGAACAACTGCAAGAATTAGTGCTATGCAGACTGTCAAATTCCTTGTCTCAAACCCTCCCAAAGAACTGTGAGGGGTTTGGAATAATTCAGGTTTGGGTTAGAAAGAGAAATTGGAAAAACTGAAGAATTTCAGACTAAATTTCTTCCTCACCCTCTCTGCAACCCCTAGTTTTTTGAGGATGTTATCTAATGTAAAGTCTCCCTTGCAGGTATCTCTTCTAAGGTTTCCTCTATTAAAAAATTAATTATCATAAACTGCCTCCTGCTAAAATAGTCCAATTGCAAGGTCATTTCCTTCCACCAAGGATTTGTCCCACAGGCTCAATCCTGATAAAACAGAAAGAAAAGTAGCAATGCTGGGCTTCACAAGTTGGAAGCATAAAGGGAAGCTGTGAAACCGTGTGGTCTTGCCCATGGGAATAGTTTTAATAAGAGGCTCGCTTATTAGACTAAAAAAGCCAAACCTTTAGATATAAAAATTGAAAAGGAGAATATAAGGAAAAACAAGAATGGCCAACAATCCCTCAAACAAATTTCAAAACAAATAAATATAGTCATCCCTACTGAATTATGTATCCCATCATTCATAAGGCTTCAGTCTACAAAGATTCTCAATCATCCAGGTCAAATTGCAAAGACTAGAGCTTAGCAACTAGCCTTCATTTCTCTTTTTCTTTCTCCTTTTTCCCCTTGGGCGCAATTTTTTAGGTTTTATAAGAATTTAGTGGATGATTGAAAGCCAGCCTCCTTGGGGACACTGCTGTTTTACCACTCCATCTCTAATGTAATGGTTCTAGCTAATTATGAAGAGCATTATCTAGCAACTGAATTACTTTCCTAGATACTTCTAAGTTATTCAGTTTGGCCCATAAAATCAACAATAGAGTTCTGAAAAGCAGCATTAAAAGAAAATAATACATTTAAATAACAATAAAATCTTACAACAATGTATATAACACCAGGTTAAATTCAGATTGCATTATGCAATTTTTGATCATCTCTCCCAATGTCAAAAATAGGGACAAACTGCATACCTTATTAACTCTAAAAGCAGTGCTACATTTTAATACAAGTAAACTGTCCTTGGAAGTATCATACACTGTTTATCTGAAAAGATGGAATAAACAAATGCAGTAAAGAAAAAAATAATGTGTTTTGGGTTCATGTAAGCACCAATCTAACGGTATGTTTAATTACAGGTTGCTCTTCCTCTCCTTGGTGATATAAGTACTTTATTAAAGGTAATTGCCTTTTTGTAGCCACTCCATACCATTTTTAAAAAAAACATTTTCGTAGTCTTGGTGTTTTGGATCCTTTTTAGTCTTATCAGTCTTTGGCATGCACTGGTCTCCTAGTCATATACAGTAGATGGCACGATGATTAAAGGCAATGGAAGATCTACATCAGTGGCCCTCGTTATTCATAATTCACCATCCACAATTTTTATTAGCCATGAATGATAAGCGCACCCAGAGTTTATTATTTAGGGTAAAGAGTTTCATGTGCCTGGTGTTGAGTATTGAATGGCAGATTTGAACGGACCAATCAGGGACTAGAGTGGGAAATTCATAGGACCATCAGTGGCTGAAGCCGCGGACAGCTCCTAGCTATAAAAGGAGCTGCCACGGCTAGGATTGCCATTGCGATTTACCACGCTAATAAAAGTGTTGGAGTTTACTGCGTGTCCTGTCCTTTCTTGTGCTCATGATCTAACATTGGCGACGAAGGTGGGATTCTAGGACAGAGAACGAAGCACTGAACCTCCACAGCAATCACCAGCCACCCTGATCAATGGCCACGAGAATCGGTCAGATCATCGGCTACCACTATGCCTTCAATCAGCCCACCCACACCATTCAACCCGGCTGGAGAAGATTAGGAATCTTACATGGAAAGATTCCATATGTACATGGAAGGGAATGACCTCTTAAGCCTGTCAGAGCAGAGGAAGAGAGCCATATTCCTTACACATTGTGGGGCCGCAGTGCTTAAAATGGCAAAAGCGCTCGCAGCCCCCACAGAATTGAGAACGATGTCCTGGACGGATCTACAAAACATCCTTAAGGCGCACTACGCTCCCCAAGCTTCTTCCCTGGTAAGGAGACATGAGTTTTACCGGAGGGACCAGAGGGACGGCGAGTCAATAAGTGAATTTGTGATTTCTTAAACTTAGAAGAGGCTATGAGAGACCGGCTAGTATTGGGACTAAAAGACATTACATTGCAAAGCAGACTGCTAGCCAAACCCTAAATAACCTTCAAGGAGGCACTGGAAGAAGCCACAGCATCAGAGGCATCCCAGAAATCCACAGCAGCCATGAAAAAAGTGAACAAAGAGAACATGGAAAAGAGGAATCTGGGGTCCTCTACGAGGACGTGAAACAGAATCAGAGGAAGAAGAGGAGGATGAGGTCCACCACCTACAAACGGACCGGAGAGGCAAGCCGCGAGGAAAGGGGAAGATAGAATTCCGGTACGCAGGTTGTGAGGGAAATCATCCCAGGGCAGAGTGCAGATTCCGGGATGCCACATGCCAACGGTGCGACTGGAAAGGGCATATAGCAAGAGCCTGCAGGGCATCTCAACCAGCAGCCCGAAGAAGCCACCCGAACCACCCGCCAAACTCACCGCCAACCAACTGGTCATTCAAGTCAAACGGAAAAAAACAACCATTTGGAAGAAGTTGCAGAAGTGAGGGCTCCAGATCGGAATGAGGCGAGACCCACCAAACATTATTAGTGGGTCATGCGAGCATGGGAAAGTCCAACAAAATGGCGGCGACCGTACTCATTGAGGGGAGACCCTGCAAAATGGAGGTCGACTCGGGGTCCTGCCTATCCATGGTCTCCTAGAAAACAATACAACAGCTGGTTCCAGGCATCAAATCCAGCGCACTCAAGCAGCAAAGGCTGACTCTTGTAGACTACCAAGGGAACCAAATCCCAGTAGTTGGCACGGGAAGCTTCAACGTTGCATACAAAACCTTCAAGGCAAAGTTAACCCTAACCAAAGTTAACCATGGACAGGGACAGACCTAGCCTATTGGGTCTGGAGTGGTTCAAGCCGTTAGGACTGGCAGTCACAGACATCGACCACATCAACAACTGTGGCTGGGAAGAAGAGCTGATGGCAGAATTTGCAGAAGTATTCAACGGCAAATTAGACAAGTACACAGGGTCCCCAATATCCTTTAACCTAGACCCCCAAGTTGCCCCTGTCCGGATTAAACCCAGGAGGGTCCCTTTTGCTCTAAGGCCCAAAATAGATGAGCAAATAGACAAGCTAGTTGCTCAAGGAGTATTAGAGCCTACAGACCATGCGAAGTGGGAAACACCCATCGTCACCCCAGTTAAGCCAGATGGGTCGGTGCGCATCTGTGGTGACTACAAAAGTACCATGAATAAGGCCCTGCAACAGAGCGCTTACCCGGTACCAGTGGTGCAATATCTGCTTCACTTGTTGGGCCGCAGAAAAATATTCGCTAAACTAGATCTAGCACAGGCATATCAGCAGCTCCCTGTAGACGATACCACAGCTGAAGCCCAAACAATCGTAACGCACAGGGGTGCTTTCAAGTGCAAGCGATTACAATTTGGAGTCAGTGTAGCCCCAGGATTGTTCCAAAGCCTGATGGAACGATTACTACAAAGGATTGAGGGAGTTGTCCCATATTTCAATGACGTGCTCATCTCAGCAAGGAATTTAGACCAGCTGAAGCAACGCCTCAGAGAAGTACTATCTAGATTCCGAGAAGTGGGTCTCAAAGTAAATAAGAATAAATGCAACCTGGCAGAAAAGCGAGTAGAATTCCTGGGGTACTTAATTGATGAATCAGGAATAAGACCCACGCCTGGAAAGCTGAGGGCAATTAAAGAGGCACCCACACCAAAAAACAAAACGGAACTGCAAGCTTTCTTAGGATTACTGAACTTTTATAATATCTTCCTACCACAGAAAGCCACAACTGCTGAACCGCTCCACTGGCTACTGGATAAGACAACGGAATGGAAGTGGGGGAAGAAGGAAGAAATGGCATTTGGAGAAATAAAAAAACTATTAACATCGGACAGGGTGTTAGTTCAGTACAGCGGAACGCTGCCAATCCATTTGACGTGCGACGCATCACCTTTTGGCATTGGAGCTGTACTGAGCCATTGCATGCCAAACGGAAGAGAGGCCCCCATAACATTTTACTCCAGAACGTTGTCCAAGCCAGAGAGGAACTACAGCCAGCTAGATAAAGAGGCATTAGCTGCAGTAGCCAGAATAAAAAGATTTCATGAGTATTTGTACGGCTGGAGATTCGAACTCATCACCGACCATAAACCATTACTGGGCATCATCGCTGGAGACAAACCAACTCCCCCCATTCTATCGCCAAGAATGCTTCGCTGGATAGAGTTTTTAACAGCCTATGACTACCAGCTGAAATACAAGGCTGGCAAAACAATAGGCCACGCTGACGCCCTCAGCAGATGCCCGCTCCCAGAAATAGAAGAAGATCCAGCTCCAGTATCAACCACACTCCTCATTGAAACTATGGAAAGTGCTCAAATCTCCGCTGCAGACATCGCGAGACCCACCACGAAAGACAAAACCCTGGCACGCATTTTGAATTGGGTCTGGAAGGGCTGGCCGGAAGCAAACATGGACACAGAATTTCAACCATTCAAATCCAGACAAACCGAACTGTCAGAATTAAAGGGGTGCATTTTGTGGGGAGACAGAGTCATAATTCCCGAAGTGCTGAGGCAGGACATTCTGAACTTATTACATGAGGGGCACCTGGGAATAGTGAAGATGAAAGCGTTGGCAAGAAGTTATGTATGGTGGTCCGGGATGGATAAAGAAATAGAGGCCTGGGTAGCAACATGCACACCCTGCCAAGAATCACGACCGGCACCACACACTGCACCTACACACGATTGGGAGAACCCAGGAACACCCTGGGCAAGGATACACATAGACTTTGCAGGGCCATGCCAGGGCAACATGTTCCTTATCATAGTGACACATTTTCAAAATGGTTAGAAGTATTCCTGATGCCTTCAACAACCATGGAAGCCATCATCCGAACATTGAGAAGGCTATTTGCAACACACGGGTTGCCGGACTTGTTGGTATTGGATAATGGGCCCCAATTTACCGCCAATGCATTTGAGATGTTCCTAGCAAACCAGGGAGTCTGACATGCATTATCAGCACCGGGGAAGCTGTCGACTAACGGGCTTGCCGAACGAATGGTGAGGACGACCAAAGAAACATTGGCACGGCTGGGGCCAGGGGACATGCAAGCTAAGATAGACAAGCTGCTCACCATCCAGCACATCACGCCGAGCGCATCCACCCACTGAAGCCCGGCAGAATTGCTGATGGGAAGAAAGCTGCGATCCCCATTAGACAGATTGCACCCTCAATACAGCTCTGAAAAATCCATGGACTCCACGAGCAAGATCCACAAATTCCAAGTGGGGGACAAAGTCTATGCAAAAAATTTCAGCAGCAACCCCCTCTGGATACCGGGAGAAATAACACAAATAACAGGACCATTGTCGTACAGATTGCAGACCGAGGACGGCCGACAGTGGAAATGCCACATTGATCAGCTCAGGGGCAGAATGACAAGGAACGAACTCGGCCCACCAGACAGAAACCACTCCCTACCACAGGCACAAGCACCAAACACCATGAGAAGAGACTCAAACCCAAGCAGAGGCAGCGGACACTTACCTGAAGTCCAGGAGAAGGAGCAGACCATCAGCGATAATCCACCATGTCGTCCGGGGGAGGAAGGGAGTAACACCCAAGAAAATAATTCCACTCCGGCAGGCAAGTTCGAGAGAGTTCCAGAGACGGAGCTAGCAGAGCCATGGAACTCGACCTCTCACTCCAAGAACTCCGAAATGACTGAACTGCACAGGTCAAGTCGCGAATCGAAACGACCCGCCTACCTGCGTGACTACGTTGCCTAGGGACTCCAGGATTGGTTATGCTAACTAGAGGGGAGGGGTGTTGAGTATTGAATGGCAGATTTGAACGGACCAATCAAGGACTAGAGCAGGAAATTCATAGGACCGTCAGTGGCTGAAGCTGCAGACAGCTCCTAGCTATAAAAGGAGCTGCTGCGGCTAGGATTGCCATTGTGATTTACGGAGCTAATAAAAGTGTTGGAGTTTACTGCGTGTCCTGTCCTTTCTTGTGCCCACGATCTAACACCTGTGGTTTTTAGTGCCTCTTCTGTTTGGAGGATGACTTTGTTTCTTTTTTTCCCCTTTCATTCAATCATGGCCAATTCTTATTGACCCTGCAGTTTTCTTGGCAAGGTTTTTCAGAAGCGTTTTGCAATTGCCTCCTTCCTAGGGCTGACAGAAAGTGACTGGCCCAAAGTCACCTAGCTGTCTTTGTGCCTCGCATTCTCTCAGTTTCTAGCCTGATGCCTTAACCACTACCCCAAACTGAAACATCATATTTCTTTTACACAAATATAAAATGACTAATGCTTTTTTCTGCATGTATAACATCCATGCATTTTCAAAGTCTTGTTATCTAAAGTTTTGTTTTAGCAATTTTTACAGAAGCTCCCTGAGTAATGAAGGCCCTGTTTACAAATAGTTCTTAAATTTAACATTTAATGCTATTCCATCTTCACAGGAGAGGTAATGAGTCTCATTCAGCTGAGACACCAGGAAACCACCAGGAAACCCCATTAGACCGACGAAGACCATGCTGCCTGCTAACCACGATTTAAACCACTTACTCTGGTGCAAGCTCACACTGGGATTCTCTTCTCTCTAGGCTCACTAGTTACTATGGCCTTCTCTCTGGACTGGGCCCATAACCTGTCAGAGTTTAGGCAGCGTGACTAATATTATGAGATAAACCCAGGAGCAAAACACAGCACACAGAGCCTTTAGATAATTAACAGTGGTTTTATCTACAGCTAAATATATACAGATTTATATGTGGTAAATACCTTATACAGCTACTGACACAAGGAGAGCAATGAGTTACACAACAAGAGAGAACATGAGGAGAAGAGAGACGCCTTCTAATGGCTTCCCTTATATATACAGCTTTTTACCCAGCTTCTTAAAGTGGCAGTAACACTGTTGCCTCATTCCCATTGCATCAGCTTACAGTTGCCTCCGCTTACAACCTTTCATCAGTTTAACAGCTATTAAATCTACATACCCTGAAATATTCTTCTATTTATCACTTCATAAACAAAAATCCAAAATAAGGCAACACTCCCTTAAGCTCTGTTTCACATTATCAAGATTTATATTAGAAGGTAGTCACCAAGGCTTTTGATATTTTGATCAGAATATTTTTCTCAGAGGAGAAAATGCAATATTGCAGACTTATCATAGGCAAGATATTGAAGTCAGGAAGTATATCCAGTATTATGTCCTGTGTGAATACATTCCCCAAGGCTACTTTTTTTAAAAAAAAAAAATCCCTCTACTATTGTCTTTGTGCCATTAAGGGAGATCCTGGTCCAAGAGGTCCCCCAGGAATCCCAGGAAGAGAAGGGTCAAAGGTGAGTTCCTCATGTGAGCTTTTTAAAATGAAGTTTGATAATTTGTGGGTTTTATTTAATTATACATGCAAGGTTGTTGCTTTTTTAAGTTGTAAATACATTGTTATCACTACCAGAAATAATCAACATTTTGGCAGATTAAAAGACCATGTGCATTCCTGCACTGTCCCCCTCAGAATAAGTGACCAGTCCTAGTTGGTCAGGTCTTCTGGAAATGGCATAGAAACTTTTAATTAAAGAGATGGCTGCACAGGAGCAGAATTTATAAAGGAAACATTATAAGAAAAGGAATCTGGGCAAGACAATAGCCTTTGCTAGTTCACAGATTTTACACTTTGATCTGATTTCAAAATAACAATGTCTGAGCTACACGAGTCCTCTGAATTGCATTAGTGGTAGTCCTACTAGCTTACTGTTGGACTCATTTTCATATGATTAGATTCCTCAGCCTGGTCCCTTGATTTATCATGGACAAATGATTTTTTTCAATTTACTTCCTAATTAATGTTGCACTTTACATAAAATGTGGGAACAATGAAGTACCAAGGCGAATTCCTGTACAAAATTATCTTGAACATTTTTTACGAGCTGATTCATATATACAGAGTGATCTCTCCTTACTCTGTCATTCGGCATCAATACTGCAGTTCAATGAAAATTAAACAGTTCTCTTGAATTTAGTAGGATTCAACTCCAAGTGTGCATTGGATTACAAAATGTAAATGTTTATATGCGTTTAAGCCATCACTGATGATGCAGTTGTTAGAGTTAAGGAACAAGGAGCATGTTACCTTCTCTGCTATGCTATTTTGGCATCCATTACTTGAAACTAATAAATGTGTTTTATTAACGAGGCAATGTCTATTTTCTTTGTCCCAAGGGGAGCAAAGGTGAACGTGGATTTCCTGGTCTTCTGGGAGAGAAAGGCAATGAGGTATGAAGATCTACTCCTGCTGTAACAAGAATAGTTTTCCTATTAGCGTTACCCTCGTCATCTTCCAAGTCTTCATTCTAGGCTTTCAGGCATTTGATTTAACAAGCCTCGCTGCTGTCACTGCCACATCTATTAACCCTCTCACTATAGCCCTAGAAAGCAAGATATTTTGACATAGAGAAAGCATTTCTCCACCATCCATTCCTCACTAAGTGAATTTACTTCATGCTTCCCCCACCTCCTGCAAAAAAATGATTTTCCTTATTCATATTACTGAAGGCAAAAAGTCTCCTCTGCCTAAAAAAATATGACTGCAGGTTCATGGATTCCCACATGGCCAAGGATCTTTGGGATAAAGGGATTTTTAATGAGAGGGAGTTTTTCCCCCCAGAAATATTTTTAAATTAGGAAATTTAAATGAAAGGTTATTTCTTGCTTTCAGTTGAATAAAACATCCCTTACTTTTTTTCTTCTCCATAAATCTCTTTCCATTTTTTCTGCCTTTATTTCATCAACCTGTCTTTCTCTTCATTTCATTCTCTCCCTTTCTTTCTTTCCTTTTCTTCCTCTTTTTTTCCCTACCTGTTTGCCCCCTGTTTCTCCTCTGTCTATAAAAGAGAAAACATACCATAGATAGTGGATGTTGCAACATTGTGTAATTGGCCATGTCTCCACTTAGTAGCTAAATAGCAATAGCAATAGCATTTTGACTTATATACCGCTTCACAGTTCTTTTACAGCCCTCCCTAAGCAGTTTACAGAGTCAACATATTGCCCCCAACAATCTGGGTCTGCATACAAGGGCTAATCATGTATACCTTGACATATAGCTTATCAGAATACATTTGATTTGGGAAAACATTGTGTTTATTGATTTAAAAAAAAAATAGGCAGAGGCTTAAATACAGCTCCATCTGTATACAACTATGAATGCCTTATGTTCTCATGTCTATTAGCAAAGATTAAAATAAAAAAATAATATAGCAATATGGCATTGTATAATATAGCACCATTAATATAGCAGAAGCCTAAATCGGAAACCTGTTCAATAAAATAGGCAGAATTATTCCAAATTCACCACAAGCAAGCAATTATATTTATTTATTTATTTGGGTGACTTGCAATATCTTTAAAGATTCCTTTACAATGCAGCAAAAAAAGCAGCAATAGCAGAAAATCCAGATACCTGACGTCAAGCGCTTCTTAACAATAATTCACTCTTCAGAACCCATGAGCAGAAGGCAAATCCAAATAAAAGGGCTGGTTTATAATTGGCAATTAGATTTTTAAGAGGCTCCAGAGTGAGTGCAAATCTTTTTATTAGATCGGTAGGGTGCCACTCAGACTTATTTGGTTACTGAGCAAGAGTCAAACTGCTGCACAGTTGATAAGCTTCTTAGGCAATCTAGCACTCTTGAGTGGTTCTCACATTCTATTGCACGGCAAGTGGCTAAATTAATCCTGCATCCAGGACAGCAGATTGTATCTGAACGAAATAGTTTCAAAATCAGCAAAGCAGGGTTGTACTTTAAGCCTGTCTGAAAATGTTTCTGCTTCACAGGAGAATTTTGAGAGAGTATACATGTACTAGAAATGGGTTCTTTTCCCAGGCAGAAAGATAGAATTAAAGTATGGTATCAAGAAACATGTTCTGTTTCCAGTTTTTTTTAAATGTTACTTCAATATTCTCTAACTTCTATTGTATATTCAGTTTTATTGTATACTTGAATCAGTACTTGCTTTTTTTCCCTATGTATTTAGGAACCTTCTTACCAATTAGCATAACGTTTGACTTATCTGAACTAATTGTGTATAGAAAATGTTTACTGCTATATAACTGCATTTTCTATAAATTTAGGTAAAGATTCTTGGCAATGATTTAAACAAATATCAAATACACACAAGCATAGTTCACATATTCCCATTCACATATTTTGATTTATTTCAGGGCCTTCAAGGAATTCCAGGGGTACCTGGTGTGGTAGGACCACCAGGATCTTCTGTAAGTATTTACTTTTATATTTGCCAATGCAATATTGTAGCCTAATAACTTGACAGCTGCCGCTCAATGTTCTTCTTAATATGACTTGAAAAGATGATTTGCTAAATTGAGTGCAAATAATGGTACTTGATAGGTTACAGCAAAAGGAAATATCTTAGTTGATTCCCTGCTAAGCAGGGTCAGATCTGATTAGTACTTCAGTGGAGATCAGTAGGAAGTCCTAAGAGTGTAGAGTGGCTGTAACAATTTTAATAACATCTCAAAAGAAGATATGGGCAAAGGATTTCCATGTTATTTTGTAATATAAAAAGAACATCTAATAATTCCTAAACATGTTAACAGTATTGAAATTTAAACAAATAATACAATAACTTTGGAGAAAATAATGTGGGAAAGCTTTGCAGTAACTGCAATAAAATGGTGGTCATATCCCTAATTCTCTTTTAGTAGAATTGTCAATCTTACACTAAGATATATGTAATGCATTATCTACAAAAGGTATATGTAATACTCTATATTATTCTCTACCCACTAGTTGTTTGTACATATAAAACTCGTTGAGTACCCCAGTCACTTTGGGATATTGTATCTGAGAAGAGTTAATTGATTAAGGAAGGAGTATGAAAGTCCTCTTTTAAAGCCTCAAGCTAACTTAGATACCTGGTAAAATAATAAACACCCTTCTTTGTGTTTATACTTCCAACATAGATTAGAAGTCCCACTATTTTTGACTATCTCTCTGGTGCTAAATGCCATTGATGCATTGTTATATTTTTAAAAAAATGCATTATTTTAAAATAGAATCATTGCAAATAATTTGTCAAAGCTGGGAAAAAGAAAAGGAATGACATCAGAAAAACAATTTTCAGCCATTCTATTTTAAAAATATGTCAAAGATATAAAGCATCAATAAGATGCAGTACAGTACTTTGCCTCAAGTATAAGGATAAAGTGTGCTTTAGTTATATTAAGAAGTGCAGTAAGGATCATCTTGAAGAAACTTTGGAAACTTCAGGAAGTTCTGAGTAGTAGCAAGGATGTTTGCACATGCTGATCCTTGGGTGACATTTCGCTTATTCTGTAACACTTGCACTTATTTGCACATTTGTTTAGGAAAAATTACTTGAAGGGCTATTTTCTGCTTATCAGACATATCCCCAGATCAGGTGGAGAGGATTTTTTGTGTGTGTTCTACCCATAATGTAACAGTATAGCATAGACTGAATAGGACCTTCTCAAAAATAACACCAATACTGAGGAACATGTTGCCCTGTGACAGTGGTGAAATCCATTTATTTTTACTACTTGTTCTGTGGGCGTGGCTTGGTGGGCGTGGTGTGGTGTGGCTTGGTAGGCATGGCTTGGTGGGCATGGCAGGGGAAGGATACTGCAAAATCTCCATTCCCTCCCCTCTCCTGGGGGAAGGATATTGCAAAATTTCCATTCCGACCTCAATCTGGGGCCAGCCAGAGGTGACATTTGTTGGTTCTCCAAATTACTCAAAATTTCTGCTACTGGTTCTCCAGAACCTGTCAGAACCTGCTGGATTTCACCCCTGCCCTGTAACTCCTAGATCGGGTGCTGATGATGTTAATATAATGTTAGGATTTGCTTTCCTTCAGATAAAAGGTTTACTTGAAAAATGAGTTTTTCTACAATGTTGTTTTTGGTTTATATCTGACATGTCAGATGAAATAAAATACATGTTTAAATAAATAATTGCACAAAAATCATTTGTTTTAAGACTACTTTCCAAAAGCACAGCTTTCAAACTCTGAATGTGATGACATTAAATTCTTTTGTTTTATGTAACTTTTTTATTTTAAAGGGCGCCATAGGAAGACCTGGACATCCTGGTTCACCAGGAACAAAAGGCGAGAAGGTCTGCTACTCTTCACAGTACACACATACCCCTCTAAAAGCATTTTTATTGTTTCTACTTAATTTCTTCTTAGTTAAATAAAGAATTCCAGGTGCACTCTTTAACATTATTGAGATTGAATCTTTCATTTTATAGAAATTCAAAGATTTGTGGTTTGCATAGTTTGTATAACAATACAAAGAAAGTAATAACTAGATTTTCTTTCACATAGAAATATTTTAAAATGCTATCTCTTATCTCAGTGGTAATTCCAAAAGTTCTTTGTACTTGACCCTCAATAAATATGGGCCCAAACATTGATTGTTCCTGAGAGCAGAAATTGTAGCACTTCTGATCTCATCTTTTTGCTGAAAGTTTATGACTCTAAATATGGTCATTTATCAATATGTAAACCCCAAAACCGACTTCTTAAACATGTTTAAATAATTTCTTTTAAGTGTACTAAGAATAGATGAGTTCATTAAAAAAAAACTTTTTGGAAGTGTTCTGAGAGCTTCAATGTCAACAGTATTCTCGACACTCTCATAACCCATCTGTGGTTTAATGTTCTTTATTTGAGAATGAGTGCCTTCTGCTACAACAATTTGTTTGATAGTACAGATTAATCACCATCAATGCCATCTTTTAAGATAGAGCAATGCACTTTCTTTTTATATTCTGAATTTATATATTGCAGAGACAATTTGTCATAAGGTTTTTTACATTGTGGAGACAATTTGTCACAGGGAACTGGTGGCAGTTATTTAGAAAAATATTTTTATCTTCAATAAAATATCTCCATTTTTCTCAACTTTATTAACTTTAATAATCTATCTGCCAAATTCTGTGTCCCACAGTGAAGTAGTTACAGCACACACATCAAGAATGTTGATTTGGTCATTTTCTTCTGAATAGATTTTAAAAACTGCAAGTAAAAGAATAGAATTCAGTTTTTAAATTGCATGGTAATTGTCCCCATGGTTAGATTAGAATATTACTTAGTCATTAAGCTGAAGTGCAGAGAACTTTTGGAATTACCACTGAGATAAGAGGTAGCATTTAAAAACATTTTAATGTGAAAAAGCTCTAGCAATTCTAAATATTATTTACTTTGTACTACACATTTTAAATGCAAATATTATCTATATATATTCTGTAAGCTCTTACTGTTCTCTGTGGAACAGGTCTTTTCAGAGTGTTATTCTTTTTTTTGGTTTAGGGAAATGAGGGTGCTCCTGGGAAGCCTGGACCACCTGTAAGTAATTTGAATTCTCTTAAAAGTGGCTGAAGTCCTAAAATATTTCATAGTATGATTTTGATGGAATAGATTCCCAAAATTAGGGCAATATATCATCAGGAAAGGTCTGTATCAGGGAAGAACTGAACATAATCCGGGATTAGAATTAATTTCCTAACAGCTTCAGTAGGTCAAATGTTGTCAGTCCCTTTATTCCTAGAAAAGTGCCTGGCCTTAACATGGTCTGTTTCTGTAAGAGGAAACAATATTTTCCTGGAGAAAGATAATCCATGGAGTCAAAGCAGGGAAGTTCTCCCCTCTCATTCTTCATGGAGACCTTTTTTCTATGCAGCAACAAATGGAGAAATATTATTCAGTGATAATATTTGGATTATATTTTCCAATCTGATACTACATAGAAAAAAGGCTTTGGCGGGGGAGATGTCAATCTTACACTGCTTCAAGACTTTGCTTTTTGCATGGTCAAGTGGAAGGCCATCTAAGTGCAAGGCAGAGTCATTCTACCTCCTATCATCCCTCATACTCTGCCCTGGAGAAAACAGACAATTGGAGGAAGGTGGCCTAGGAACAGGGGGAACCTACAGGTTGATCTTGCAGATCCAGAATTTCCCCAAGTCTGCTTTTTGGTTTAGGAGAATTTCTGTTTTCATATTGTTGCCTCAGATAAAGTATATGTCGTGCTGATATCTTAGAAGGCATCGGGACTTATTCTGAGTTTTAAGGTTTCTAATTAATATATTATTTTTATTTTTTCTTTAGGGTATGTCATATAGTGAAAGTAGTGGCATGAGCAGCTTATATAAACTACAGGTATTTTGTAGCATGGAAAACATTTTTTGTTTGTTGAATGTATATCCTGTTTTTATTGATTAAAAATAGCAAAATGGGGAAACAATCAGTTTTAATAATTTACATTTTTTTAAAAATCAATGCAGATCTTCTAAGAACTATCTACACCTTTTACATCTGAAACATATAGTATTCCATAACATAAAACAGAAGTCTCTTAATCCACAAAAGATCAATTTAAAAAAATAAGACCAATGGCACTAAGCTAACTATAAGTCACTTTATAAGACTTAAATTTTAATTTAATGTGAAATCTTTTTTCCTTTGCAGGGAAGTTCTAGTTATGCTGGTCCCACTGGGCCTCCTGTAAGTATGGCATTATTATAGTTTGATATTTATTATATATGAATATACATCCAATTTTGTAGAAGTTACAACACTTTCTTGTTTATATCCAGAAACAGGACTGATAAGAAGAAGAATAGCATTTTGCATAATACTAATATTCACTAGTACCTAGAGTCCACTTCATGTTGGTGTCTTTCGATGTATTTTTCAATGTGACATTATAAATTTCTAAAAAAACATTGTGATTTTTGGCTTTTTTCCATGGAAGAAAAAAAAGGTTTAAAAATATAAAATTATAACCAGCATAGTTAGAGATGGTAAGCCTGTCAAGTCCAATGAGTATCATAATCTTGGTCTATGCAGTTTACAATTAGAAATAAAATTCATGTTCAGTTTCTTTTTAAAAAAATCAAAAGAGTTTAAACATTAAAATAGCATATTATTAAATAGTGCAGTCCTACACAATGAACCTCACTGGATGGCAGTTGTCCTGATTCCATGACAGCATTCTGGTATTGCATGTGCAGGCCTGTATAAGTCCAGTGCGGTTTTGTGTTCAAGATGTTGAATTCACACTGGGAGAGCCAGGTTCTGGCCTATCCTCAGCTAAAGAGTGGTTTTAGAGTTTTGACTAAAAATGGAGAAGGGTGTGTTTGTGGTAAACAAAATGCTAAAATGCTGACAAAAATAAGTCTAGATCAAAAAGTATAATGGAAGTTAAGCATCTTTTGATTTCCCAAGAGTTTCTAGAGAAGAAAGTCTTTAGTGTATTATTTTGTCAGAAAAAGCTGTCAATTAAAAATAAAAACTGTAACAAATTAAAATGACTTCTGAAAAGAAGTTGTGATAACTTAACTAACAAATCTCCAGACTTTTATCACTAAAAAAAAAAAAAGGAATGAAATGAAAAATCAAATTAGAATCTGGTTTTAAAATATCCCTCTAGAATCACCTCTTATTTCTTATCAACCTGTAAAAAATTGACACAATTATAGGAGAAAATGTAATTTCTGATACATACTGAGATGATTGCAAACAGTTTCCAAGTATTTCTTTAATGACGTTGTTTTCCAACCAATTACATATATATGAGATCAATTAATTGAAAAGATAAACACATAATTTTTCATTTAGATAGATCAGATGATGAATAGCAATAAAGATGCGTTTTTAGTAAAATAGTTTAGATTTTTTGATGACAGTAAAATAAATAAATGTTTCATAAGCAAGCATTTGATAAGAATAGTTGAGTACAGCAGTGGAGATGTTTCTACAAAGAATAAAAAATATTAGGATCTTTATAAAAGCCAGGCCTGTCAAGAAAATATTATTCTCAAGAGTTGGTTTTCTTATTGTTTACTATGAGTGACTGCTTTGGGAAATATTTTGACTCATGCTTTTGAAGTGAAAAATGGCTTTTATCAATATTTAACTAAGGAAAAGCATATAAGTTTATTATCAGTGATTTCAAAGTGCAGCTAGGCTATTTAACTAATATCTACTAACCCTAACCCTAACATGTTTCCCTTTTAAAATAATTTATTGAGAGCAATAACATATAAAGAATTGTATTTTAATTTTTCTCTGAAATTATATTTTAAAAATGATTTCTCAGATGTAGCTATGATATACAAATTTTTATCTGGAGATGGAGCCTGTTCATTGCTAAACAGACTTGTTAGTACCCAGGAGGAGTAATTCATAGATATTTTTTCTGATAATTCTTTTAAAACAAGATTACTGTCAGATTCCCTCCCTGAATTTTAGATCAATGTGCAAAATGACTACAGAAATTTATATCAAAAGTTTGGAATCTTGATTCCATTTGAAGAACCTGTTTGCCCAAATTTCTACAACCTCATTCTTTCCATTTTAAAATGAGCTTTTAAAATTGGTTATTGTTTATTTCCAAAGAAAACATTTTATTTTATAAAGATGCAAAAGATCTATTTTTGTTTTATATGATAGTTACGTTAAAGTGTCATTATTAAAAATAGTAGATATATATACAGGTTTCTTGCTCAATCCATCAATCAGTGGATGCATGAGTTTTATTTATAGAGCAGAATCAACATGAATTCATTTATTATTTCTGGATAAATGATAAATTATCTTTGAGGGAGGTGGGAGGTTAAGAAACATGATAAAAAAATGAATAACTAATCTACTGTAATGATCTATTTCTTGCAAAATAATCCATGGCAAATATTGAGGAATAAAAGTATCATAGCAAATGGAAAATAAAGGCATTCTCCAGATTATTTTTCAAATACCATTTTTTCCCGAGACTCAGAACATTTTCAGAATGATGGTTCCTAAGAAAAAGCAAATAATCACATTTCATGGGCTAATTCATTCAATAGTGGAAGATTCTTGATTCTGATAAAAGACCATAAAATCATTGGATCAATCTCATGGTATCAGTCTCATAAATAAATGATGTACTGTGTCCTATTGTCTTACAGGGCCCAAAGGGGGAGACTGGAGCCATGGTATGTAATGGGTAAAATGAGTCCTTATTTGTAAAATGTGTCCTGATGTGTTTGGTCATTAGTTTCCATTTCCAGTTTCCATTTACCTTCTTCTAACCCTCTGGATAGTTAATCTCAGTAGGGGAAAGAAAGCAAATGGCCCTGGAGAATATAATGTCAAGATGGAGAGGAGACTTGTGGAATTCATTTTGTCCAGTTTCAGAACTAGAAGCCAACATTGACCATTTGGTTTACTTATAAAAGGAACCACTTTATGCACATATAGTTGAACTATGGAATTCATTTATTTATTTGTTTGTTTTAATTTGTATACCGCCCTTCTCCAGCAGGACTCAGGGCGATGAACAGCCAGAATAAAACAGAACATACAAAATTTAAAAACAGTTTAAAAAATAATTAAATATTTTTGGCCACAATTTAAAACAACCGAATTAAAATCAATTCAATTTAACGGAATGAAGTCTTATCAGATGTGATGATGGAAACCAATTTAGTACTAGGCTCAGATCCTTTTAAAATACGCTAAAATGGCCATTAGTCATTACTTGTGCAAGAGAATGTAAACACAAGTGTTATGCCCCTGTGTAACCTAAATACTGTATAGCCAGACATCACACAGAAAACAATCTTGAATCTGAAAACACTTTTTAGTTTCAAGTCATTAAAATGCTCAGCAGGGCAAAAATGGTCATTGCCAAGTAGCAGCTTGTGAAATACATCTTGCTTTATTTACTTAGAGTGTTGAAATCAGAAATGATTGTCTTTTTGTTTTTTTCCAAGGGTGAAGCGGGCCCAATGGGACTACCAGGTTTAGAAGGACTACCAGGAGAAAAGGTAGCATTTTAATCACAAAATTACATGTGGAAAATTGATTGCATTTACCTACTGACAATAATCATTCTTTTCCAATTGTCCTTTACATATTTAAATCGTACAGGAAATCCTCCATTTAGAACAAAATAATTACAAATTTACAGCAAAACTGAGTATTTTAAGCAAATAGATATCACCTTAGTGTTATGACAGCACCAAGCACATTGGATGTTGCTGTTTGTGCTAGCTAGGGCATTTTCACAGAATAAATTGAAGGTAGAAGAAAAACTTGCTATGCAACAACAAAAATATTGGCTGATGATTCTTGGACAATAACTGCTATTATTTTGGGGCAACCTGCTTTGCACCAGGCTGGCAACTATGGCCTGTGAATCCAAATGGAATGTACTGTAAATTCAGATAAAATTTAGAGTGGGGGAAGAAAAGACTATACTTGATTTTACATATAGCATTAAGTCATGGCTTAGTTATCCATTTTTAATGAAAAATATTGGCTGGATTTTATTTATTTTATTTATTTATTTATTTATTTATTTTTCAATTTATATACCGCCCTTCTCCCTGAGGACTCAGGGCGGTGCACAGCCAGAATTAAAAACATGAAATACAAATATTAAAAACAATTAAAATCTATATAAATTTGGCCCAAAATTTAAAAAACCACAAACCAATTAAACATTTAAAAATTTTTTAAAAATTCTTCCTAAGCCAGCCCGGCTTGCTGGAAAAAGTGGGTTTTAAGGGCACGGCGGAAGGCACTGAGGTCTTGGATTCTCCTTATCTCTGAGGGCAGCTGATTCCAGAGGGTAGGTGCCCCCACAGAGAAGGCTCTCCCCCTGGGGGTCACCAGCCTACATTGTTTGGCTGATGGCACCCTGAGGAGGCCCTCTCTGTGGGAGCGCACGGGTCGCTGGGAGGTTGTCGGTAGCAGCAGGCGGTCTCGAAGATAGCTAGGCCCTATGCCATGGAGCGCTTTAAAGGTGATAACCAACACCTTGAAGCGCACCCGGAAGACCACCGGGAGCCAGTGCAGCTTGCGCAGGAGCGGTGTTACATGGGAGCGCCAAGCTGCTCCCATCACTACCCGCGCTGCTGCGTTCTGGACCAGCTGGAGCTGGATTCATAAAGCACTAAACATAAACCTTGGTTTCTAAACCACCATAGCTAAGATCATACAGTACAACACACCAAGACAAAGCATATGATCGCTTATCCATCTATTACAAGATGAAGATTCAACCTGTATAAACTTTGCTTTCCTAATCTTTCCAAATTATCTTTCCATATTGTCTGCGATTGTTATTGAGCAACTTGTTAGATTCTTTTCTACCTGCTATTAAATAGCTTTGATTTAGAATGGTTCCTTACCTGGCAAAAAAGAAAACAGAAAAGAAAAGAAAAAAAGAAAAGAAAAGAAAAGAAAAGAAAAGAAAAGAAAAGAAAAAAAGAAAAGAATGAAAGCTGCTATTGTGTCTTCTCCTAACATTAGTGACCATGTTCTACCTTGCTGTCCTCTGACTATCTTGAGATTGTAATTGGTAGATTCTTCATTGTGGTCTATTTGAATTATACATGGGGGTATTTGCTCTTCCAGAGCATTCTTTTCAGAAACCAGTATATCAGATTAGGAAAAGCTGATAAGTATTATAAAGGACACTCATATTCACATAAATTGTCACTTTGCCTGTAGCTACAAGCCTATATCTATATGAGATGAATGTGAGAAACAAATCAGATAATTGGTTTATTAGAGTATTATATACTCTACATTATATAATTATAGTGCATTTGGCAGGAGTGGCCAGGACAGTAGAAGTTCTATTACTATTGTAGTGGACACTTAATGGGTATATTCCAGGAATAATTTACATTCAACTGACTTCATTTCAATAGGCTCCTCTATTATGTTCTCTAAACACCAAGTTGGCAAGAAATTGAGATTGCCTTAATTGTAATCTTGCCTCTGTCTTATTTCTTTTTCTTCCTTTGTTTCTATTGGTTCTTCTTCTTGACTTTTACTATCTGTTTCCTCCTTACTTTCCTGTTCTACTTCTAGTCTAAAATGTGTGTTATGAAATTCTCTTGCCTTTTCTAGAGTATCTATTTTATATCTTTTGTCTTCCCACGTAATTAAGATCCCCTCTATTGGCAGCCATCTATACATTATCTTGTATTTGATCAATAGTTGTGTTAAAAACTGATATTGTTGTTGTAGATTTCTTACTCTTCGGGGTATCTGTTTTAAAATTATAATTTCTTTTCCATTATAGATCACCGTTTCTTCTCTAGATTTCTTATAGGCTTCATCTCGGATTGATTTTTTAAAAAATTTAACATGGACTTCTCTCACCAATCTGTGTCTTCTTATATAATTTGTTTGTACACGATAAGTTTCTTCCAATTGTCCTTTTATTTCTTCTGGCTCTTTTTGTATCATTCCTGCAATAATCTCCACCATCTTTTCTTCTAAGTCCTCATTTTTTTCTTCTGGAACATTTTGAAAACGCAAGAAGTATGAGGCCTTTTCCATTTCGAGCATGGCCAAGGAATCTGACATTTCTTTGTTTAGTTGGGTTTTTTGTTCCATTGCTTCTACTTTTAATTCCACGTGATCTATTTTTGTTTCCGTTTTCCTAATTCTCTGTTCATTTTCTGCTATAGAATTTTGAATGCCCCCAATTTTATCTTTCATGGTCTTAATATCTTCCTTAACTTCTCCTAATTCATTTCTGATCTCTGCATGGAACGTTCTCATTTCTTCCTGATTTTCAGCTATTTTTTCTTGTGCTTGAAGCAGTGTTTCCTGGATATTTTGAAACATATCTTGTATTACATTAGGTGCCATTTCCAGTTTTTCTTTTTCTTTCCCCATCATGCTATCTATTGTTTTTTGTTGTGAGGGGGAAGGAGTCATTACTAACGTACTAGTTGTAGGTTTTTTCCCTGTCTTTGTTATGGTGGATGTTGTAGACATTTTTAATATTCGTGTAAAGCTTTCCAACCTTAACATCAATTATTAAGTTATTCCTTAATATCTCTTTTCCCCTCCAAATACTACTTATACACCACACAACTTATATATAGTTATATTATATTATATTGCCAGTTATCCCGATTAAGCAATTAATTCTTGTTCACAGTATAAATCTATTTACTTATCAATCAAGATTTTAATTTTTTTTTTTAATTTGATTTATATGCCGCCCTTCTCCGGAGACTCAGGGCGGCTTACAATGCGTTAAGCAATAGCCTTCATTCTTTTGTATATTTTATACAAAGTCAGCTTATTGCCCCCACAAACTGGGTCCTCATTTCACCTACCTTAGAAAGGATGGAAGGCTGAGTCAACCTTAATTTTCTTAGTTTTCTAATTAGCAATCTTTTCAATTACCCCCTTTTTCAATCAGTCTATCTCAGAGATACAGTCAACTCATCTGTTATTTTATATAAAAATCAGTCTTTCGCTTTAACAATAATTCCTTGTCTAACTACAATTCCACAATACAATTTATAGCTATAAAAATATTGTCAACTTACATATTTCTTTCAAATATTAAACTTATTAACTAATTAAACAGTTCAAAATTAATAATTCACTTAATTTTTATTTTCTTTAGTCCTTATTGTCTTCTTGTTTTACCTCTCTCAGTCTGTTCTTTCACAATCATGAAAAACGCAATCTGTGTCGTCTCAGTCTTTTTTTTTTAATTTCTTCTCCCAGTCATCGGATCTCTGCATTCAATTTTCAAATCTTTTTTTTTAAACTTGAGTTCTTATTATCTAAAGTTATTTGTAAATCCAGAGTTTGAAATCCCGACAGATCTTCTGTATCTGTGAAATTCACCACTTAGTCCGGTATTTCAGTCTCTGTATTTGGTTTCTGATGTTTGGGGTTTGAATCAGTTATAATTCCCAAGATCAAACAGCTTGTCTCTATATCCACAAAGTCCACAGGCTGCTCCCTTTGATCAGCTGTAAAGGTCCGCAGTCAGACTGCTTCGAGCGCTATTTCTCCTTTTCTTATATTTGCTTAGTCATTCTATGGGTTTCTCTCTTCCGCGCTGTAATTATTCCCCCTTTTTTCCTTCTCCTCTTGTATCGCCGCTGTTATAACTCATTTGTCTTTCTCTGATTCGATCGCGTGTCCCGTTTGCCGTCTCTATTGTAGGTGATCTATCTGACAGTCACTCGGATTTGCTTCCACTTTTTGCTTCAATCTAGGCGGGCGCGATCACTCCTGTCCGCCGATAAGGCCGACTTCTTCTCCACCAATTTAAGAGGTTGATCGCTCGACCTCCCTGATGACAGCGCAACACCAGGGGGCTTCGCGAATTCCTCTTTCGTTTCCCGATCCCTTCAAGTTCGGGAATGCCCCTAAAGAGCAATTAATGAGGAAATTTGGGTTTCAGAGACGGAGCCTCCATTTCCTCACCCGTTCGTGATGACGTCACCGCCGGAAGTCCCCCTATGATAAAAGATTTTGAATATTCTCATGTTGTTACTGTTATCACAATCACAGTCATTATCCCTGGCTATAAGCTACCCTGTTTTCCCAGTCCTCCAATACTGTTAGTCCACCACTCAGAAAACTTCATTTCTTTGTTTTCCTATTGAATATGGCAAAATAATTGTGACATACATACCGTGTTTCCCCAAAAATAAAACCCTGTCTTATATTTTTTTGATCCCTGAAATAAGCGCTTGGCCTTATTGCCATGCGCTCAAAAACCCGATTGGGCTTATTATCAGGGGATGTCTTATTTTGGGAAAAACAGGGTACATACAGTTTACATAAGGTTGCATGTAAAAAGTTCATTGTCTTGAAGATTTTTTTGATAATTTAAGGTAAAGTGTCATTTCCTGAGTAATATATGGAATTTGCCTCCTTCTCTAAACTGTTCTCTAGAATTTATGCCAGAAACAAGAACTGATGACAATCATTAATGCTCAACAGAAGTAACTGGATGTCTGTGATTGTTTATGATCATTTCAGGAGACACAAGCAAAGGAAAAATCCAAATATATATTTTTTTATTTTAATAGGATAAAGGCTGTTTCAGATAGTGCTTCCCATATAAATAAGAGATCATGCAATGTATGAGAAGAATTGTTTCCTCAAATGCTGAGTGAATTCATTAAGCCTTCTTAGCAGACATTGGATTTTCTCAAGAGATATACTTTGGAAATACTGCAATGTAGTATGTCTTTTTTAGGGTGACCAGGGATCAGTGGGACCTCCAGGAGTTCCAGGAATACCTGTAAGTATACTCTTAACGATGTTTCCATTTTGTGGAAGTGAATAGTAATCACAATAACTGGAATAAGGGTAGTCTGCTAGACACGCATTACATAATAATGTGTACAAACTGTGGGAAATTGTAGCCAAATACTCTTCTGGATGTTCAGAATCAATATTGTCATACCTAATCATTAATCTTTTCTTATATGCTCATTTCTTACTATAAAATACCTCCTACATTACTTGCCTTCTTACTATGAATCTTCAAAAGAATCTGGAAGTAGACTGTACCCGAACAATTTGCACTGCTGATAGCTAACCTTAACTTTTTCTTCTTACAAATGATCTCCATTCATATTTAGAAAGTGTTGAGCATTCAATTTTGGAGGAAATTTTCTGTAGTTAGCAAATCAACATTTTAAGGAAAATCATTCCTTATTTATTTTATGTTAGAAATTAAAACAAATAACAGGACAATGAAAAAACAAGTCCACACCTATATTCAGAATTAACAAATCTGAAAAAACAGATTTGAATGAATGAATGAATGAATGAATGAATGAATGAATGAATGAATATCTGATCTCTATTTTTTTCTTTGTTCTATCTGTAATCCATTTTATAGTATTACTGCAATGGGTACATCAGATGGGTTGGGCTATAGATCAACCTCCTGGTTTGTTGAGAGGCTGAGGGGGGCATCTATTAATGTGATGTTATCATTTGAAAGAGTGATAACAAAGTCTTTATACATTTTCATCCAGTTTATACACATGTAAGGATAAGAATAGGAAGAATTCACTTTCCGGGGGTTTTCTGCTCTGATTCTCTGCTTTGATTTAAGTGTGGAGGAATAGAAAACAGAAATGTGACAGTTTTGCTTCAGGATTTGTCTATCTTTTGGGATGTTGGGGTTGAAGAACATGCAACTCCTAAGTCATGACTCTTCTTTTGATGATATATTTTTATAACTAAAGCTTCATTTAATTTATGCCATCTGAAAAGTGTTTGAGGGTCAGTTTGTATCCTAAGAGGATTTAACAATCTCAAGATATTTCTAATAATTTTTAGAAAAAGATGCTTTACTGTTCAGAAGTAAGTGTCATTGAATTTAGTGTGAATAGCCTAAATTAGTATAGTTTTAGGATATATAAGAATGGAACCAAAAGCTTTTATAATTAAGGAAGAATTCATTGCTCAGGAAATATCAGTGTAATATAGTGTAACCTAATATACATTAAAACAGCTATAATTACAGAGCAGACTAAATAATTGATTTTTTAAAAAGTGATTTTCTATGTATTTATTTTCACAGGGAAGGCATGGCACTCCAGGGCCACCAGGAATCCCTGGAGAACCTGTAAGAGCACTTAGGTTTCAGCACTCCCATAATAGTATTAGTATTCTGATTGCTTTCAGTTAATATAAAAGACTCTTTATTTTTCCTTTAGGGTGAAAGAGGGCCTGTTGGAGATGTTGGCTTCCCAGGGCCAGAAGGGCCATCGGGAATACCCGTGAGTAATTAAAAAGGGATTCTGGTATGACCTAAGACAGTGATTCGTTTTTTCTTCATCCAACTAATTAATTAATGGCCAATTATTGGATTGTTATTGTTATCTGTTCACAATCATGTGAAGTCACAGCTGCCAGTTCTTTAACTAGTGCTGGTCTTTAGATGCATCAAGTTCTTCCCAAGAATCTAGGATGTTATAATGTATCAGCATTATCAGACAAATGGAAATTCTGTTAATGCACAGTTTTTCTAGGTGCCATCCAAGATATTTTGCTATGGCACCCAGTGCAGAGGTGGGTTTCAACAGGTTCTGACCAGTTCTGGAGAACCGGTAGCGAAAATGTTGAATAGTTCGGAGAACCGGTAGTAAAAATTCTGACTGACCCCACCCCCATCTATTCTCTGCCTCCCAATTCCCAGCTGATCAGGAGGAATTGGGGATTTTATGGTAACCTTCCCCTGGATTGGGGAAGGAATGGAGATTTTACAGTATCCTTCCCCTGCCATGCCTACCAAGCCACGCCTACGAAGCCATGCCACACCCACCAAGCCACGCCCACAGAACCGGTAGTAAAAAAAATTGAAACCCACCACTGACCCAGTGTGTCGATAACCCCTGGGACCACAATAAACAATTTATGCCATAATCTGATTAATTAATTATAATTAATTATTATTATGAAGTCCCTGCGAAGCTACTCCACCAAAATTATTGTTTCCTCCTCCTCTGCAAGTCCCCAAAATGAAACCGCTAAAATTTGCTGGGATTTTCCATTTATTTAGGAGGGAAAACCCTCCTAAATAAATTAAACATACCTGTAAAGGAAACTGATCTCGCAATAATAAAAGTGCATACTCTGACCTAGCTAGCTATATAGTAATGAGTAATTTTATATTATTTTAGAAGTTAGTTTTACTGATAATTTGTAGGCATTAAATGCTATTCTAAGTCCAACACCCACTTTGTGGTTATTTGATTGAAGAATGCCTTGAGCCCTTTGGAACCTGAATGAGTAGGACTTGGCGCAGCTGCCAACTGTCTTCAATCACTTTATCAGTTGAGATTTTGCATCCTGAGGGCTTTATGCTTATATTCTGTTCTGTCTTAAGATATAGATAGCAAAATTCATACATTTGGTAATATGAGGATCATTATGTTTTTTTTTCCTTAGGGCTTAAATGGGAAAGATGGATTGCCTGGTCCTCAGGTAAGAAAACTATTTATGTATGCAGAATATAATTGTGCTTTTGGCCTTTGTCAGCAAGAATATATATTTTAGCAATACTTTCCATTTTTGTAGGGTTTAATGGGTAAACCTGGTGATAGAGGCCCCAAAGGAGAACGCGTAAGTTACTTTGCCAATTGTCATACTATTTATCCAATTTATTATTTGCAATTTACATGCATACTTGTAAAATATAAATGCATATAAACTCAAGTATTATAGCTTGCAATGAATATTAATACAGTGGAAATCAAACATATTAAAATGGCAGATTATTTAGAAGTCTTAATGAATTCATTCCAAGTTTGTGACCAAAGTGACCTGAACTAAATGCAGTATTTTAAGTGGGGTCTGACTTAGAGTGGGACGATTACTTCCCATGCTCTGAACACCATACTCTTATTAAGGCATCCCCAAATAGTATTAGATTTTTAGCAGCTGCAATACAACTGGTGATCTACCCTTTTCACATTTATTACTGCCAAACCAGATCTTCCCCAACATATATTTGCTCCCATATTTGTTCCTATTAAGTGTCATCCTGTTCATTTCAGCTTACTGCTTATACACCATTCAAAAAGGCAGTTTAAAAAGCTAAGAAGGAAACAAAAAGTCTAAAAGTCAAAAGTCTCTCTCTCCAACAGCCAACACTCAGATAAGCAGGCAGTAATACTACTGTAAACAAAGCATTGTCCTCCAAATGGATTGGGAATTCAGCTCCCAAAATTTGCAGCAAGCATATCCTGGTTTACAGGATATTTTTGATATTTTTTGATATTTTTGTAATTCTAGTATATTTGGGCTTGGAGAAGGCTGGTTTATATAGTTATTTGAGTAATGGATCACTTTATATAATTAATATTACACCTAAGACTTATTTCATTTTATTTTGGATTGTAGACAACACTGTCTTTACAGCCCTTATGATAAAGACATCAGGGGCGTTGTCAAGAGAAACTTCTTTGCATAAAAGAGGAAAGCAGTTTTGTGGGGGGTTTTTTGCTTATTCCCCATCCTATTTTATCTAAAATTCAGAAGATAAACTAAATAAGAAAGATCTCTTTTAAACATTTGGTGTATTTAAAAAAATCTGTAGTTAGAAGAATAGAAATTCCTATGGATTTTCCTTTCTTTGCATCATGTCCTTCAGCCTTCTATATTCTTATATTTTATTTCTTTTGCAGTGCTAAAATATTTCAGCTCCTAAGGAAGTAGAACTTTATGGGATTTTCTGGTTGTTTTGTTCATGGGTTCCAGTTTCCTTGGTCTTCTCTATGTGGTTCTTTAACAGAATGTTATTCTGTAGTGTAAAGAAATATTATTTAGAAGGACTGTAAAGTGCTTTGAATTTGAAGGCAAAAAAAAAAATATGCCTCAAAACATGCAGGGATGCCCACACAGCTGGTTACTCTTCTTTTCCCAAAATAGTGTGGCTGTGCCACACTACAGTAAGGGGAAAAAAGTATGTTTAGGAAGATGCAGAAGGTGCTATGTAAGCACCTTGCAAAGCTCTAAGGCATGTTTTTGGCTGGAAATACAAAGGACTGCTCCCCTCTAATTGCCTTTAATATTTTCATTTTCAAGAGATTTAAGATAAATGAAAGCTCAAGCAAAATATTTGACACGGCATTCTTTTTTTGTTTCAACAGGGTGATCAAGGTATACCAGGAGACAGGGGCCCACAAGGTGAAAGGGGGAAGCCTGGCTTACCAGGAGACCAAGGGCCTCTAGGACCTACTGGATCTGCAGGGCAAAAAGGCAATTCAGGACCTCCAGGTCAAAAGGGCCCTCCAGGTGTTCCAGGAATTCCAGGAATACCGGTAAGGTGAAGGGCAGGGAGTGGTCAACCTTCATTGGCTATGTGCTACACCTAACATTTTGGAGAGGGTAAAGCTACAGTGGGCAAATTTGCATTATTTAATGGGAAGGACACAACAGGAGGAAATATAATGAAATGGGTTTCTATTCTAAGCCTATTTTAAAGATTAAACAACAGCTTGTATATGTTTTCTACACCAGAAGAAAATCCAATTTTTATATTCAGAAATTGCAGTTGGAAGGAGTTCTGGGCCTTCAAGTCTGCATGCAGTCTATTGGTTTGGATTTGGCTATCTTTTCTTTTTTTTAAAATTCAAAATAAAACTCTGAAAGAATCATTGAGAAACAAGTATTTCTAGGCAGTAGTATTGCTTATATGGTGATGGGTGGTTATGGTTATGATGCTAGCAGGTTTTCATTACATGAATTCTATTTATAACTTTTATTGTTGCAGAGCTCTTAATAGAAACAGGAAGACAATTTTATTTGTTTTGATGATTTTGTAGCCCAAGCCGTCTATTCTTAATCTCTTTCATTTTTTTATTTCTTCAGGCTGATTCAATTTCATTTGAGGAAATGAAAAAATATGTCAGACAGGAGGTTCTTAGAGTTTTTGAAGGTAAGGAAATGGCAAATGTATTCACATCTTCATTGTAAATACTTGCTTCCAATCGTGCATTATAGATCTATTGGATATGTAACATTTGAAACAATTTCACTGAACAATTTCATCATTTATACAAATACATTTAAAATGCTTAAGACAGGCAGGTTCCTTCCAAGTCACCTATCACAAATAACGGTTTGACATTCAAAATATCTTTAACTAACAATCTACTTGTTGAATGTGTACTGGAATCACAAAGGATACTCACCTGTTAGAAGGCAGATAGCAATGAAACCTATAGCACCTTTATATATCCATCCTACATCCTCCAAAATATGATGAATTGTATCTAGGGAAAAGTTAATTGAAAAACATTTTCTTGCAGTGCTGGACGAACAGTAAAAATTGAGATTTTTAAGCTCATGGTGGTCTGTTTTAATCTTGGTTTTCCAAATATTGTGCAACTCTGCACAATGCAACACATTAGAGTGTTCTTGATGTGCAAAATCCTCAGGGTCAAGTGAAGCAATAAAATCAAATAAAAGAAGGCCCACTTATGACTTTCTTCTCTTTCCTCTTCTAAAGTGAAATTATGCAAACCAGAGGCAGTTCAAACTACATAGAAATAGAGGGGATATTCAGTGTCAGTTTCTGGACTACACAAACATAATAAGGTGGAGGAAAAGTAACATATATTGCCAGCTTTCTCACCAAGTCTTTGATACCAGTCTGCTCTTCAATCAATATCATGCAGGGGGTAACTAGCCTGTGCAATCTGTAACTTTTCTCAGCATTTTTTTTCTCTTTGCTGACTGAGACAAAAAAAAAAAAACAGAATAAACAAAATGAAACAAAATTTTGTTATTTGAATTAAAGAATACTAAGATACATGATTGTTTTCTAGGAAGAGTTGATGCTAGTTAACATACGTATCTTCCATGCATCATTTTGTATCAAATGTTATGATTAAAAAATGCAATCATATCTATTGCACACACGATTCCCACATACCAAAGATTTTGAAAGATAACAGGGCCCAGTTTTGTTCCATCTATATCTGACACAGGAATAGGTTTCAGTTCAGACTAGGCTAATTGCAGAAAGAGACTGTGTGCACTTCTCATATCCTAGCCAACTTCCCCCATCATTTTATTAAAGCACACAAGCTTAGAGGTCAAATAAGTGATGAGGTAGAAAGCTGAATGGGGATATGGGAGAAGTGCACAAGACTCCCTTGGAATTACATAGTTTTATCTATTTCCTTTCATGCCTAACTTCATGAAGTTAGTTTCAGACCAAGGAGACTTCATCACCACCCAACAATAGCCTACTTAAAAGGCTAAAAATTATAAATAATAAAGCTTCTCTCGTTGGTCCTTCACCCATGGCAATTAAACACATTAAAAAGGTAACATATTGCCAAACTCAAATACACAGGTCAGGAAAAATCAGAAAGCAGGCTAGGAAGAAAGGGAGAAGTGAAAAAAAGAAATGATCACTTTAATGACCACTTATAATTTGAAAAATTATAAACTGTAATATTGTAGTTATAGATAAAAATATTTTTCCAAGTATTGAAAAGACATTTAATGCTATTTTATTATCCTTGTTGCTTTTTTAATAAATGAAGAGAGGATGACTCAGTTTGTGTCTCAGCTGAAGTTGCCTGCTGCTATGCTAGCTTCCCAAACTCATGGGAAGCCAGGTCTTCCAGGAAAAGATGGATTACCTGGGCCACCTGGGGAACCTGGACCACCAGGTAGGGCTTCCAATCTCATTCTTATATGCATATTTTGTTTTTAAAGTATTCAAACATCTTCAGAGCTGAGTAAAACTATACAGGTAGTAGCTTTCTAACAATTAACTTTTAAATCTATACTAGCATTTTCTAGACTAGATCAATATATTAACATTTGTTTAGGAGTCTGTTTTGTTGCATATTAAACACTTCTAATTAGCGCATAATCTTAATAACTGATCACATCAGGCTACTGATATACTCTTTTTATCAATCTACAATTATTTTAACAGGATAATTAGTACCTGAATATTAATAATATGAGGATTTTCCCAAAATCAGCTATTTGAGTTTCTGATCTTAGGGATCCAATGTGTTATAAAATATATACAAATTAAAGTGGGCCAAAATGAAAAACTGTAAATGTTACAATTTATTACTTTTCCAGTAAATTTAACTACATACATATATTCTTGTAATTACATTTGTGCAGTATCTAAAGAAAACTTAGCAAGAAATTCTGTAAAGCGGCATATTGATTAACTGAGGGGAAAGGAATGTTTATAGTTATTCGGTATTATGTTTCATTAGTTTCAGTGAATCAGTGAAAACAGACTATATTGCCATTTTAAATATACAAACAAGATATTTAGAGTTCACATTGTAAAACTATGTTTGGGATAGTAGATATAAATCCTCTATAAGTATAGGTAGTTTTTAATTATTATTTTTTGTTAGTTTGGTCTGCTCTGGAGTCAGAGCAAGTCAGACTGGAATGAAGAACATGAAAGCAAAGCTGAAGAAGGGCGGAACACAAAGCTGTAAGGAGAAGAATAATGGCTTAGAAACTGAGAAAGAGCTCAGAATGAGAAGAACCAGAATGAAAAGATCAAGCATTGTTACAGAGAACTAGAGCTTTTTCAGAATATGGCTTGCTCCTCAACGAAATATGCAAATTCTTGTAAATAATCGACTTGAATATCTCTATTGCTGAGATTGTTTAACTAGTATGCACAGAGTGAATAGCTAAAGATGTTTGAAGAAAAAAAAAACGAAAACCAGCAAGCCAAGATATAATGTGAATGATTTCCCACTGGCATGTGAAGGACTAGAAACAATGTTTCTAGTAACAGAAATAATAAAAGCTGCTTACAGTGTTATAGTTATAAAGAGATTATCGCAGAATATCGCTGAGTATAGCTTATTACCCCAATGCACCAACCCTAAATCAGCCATGCTTTAAAATGTTGAACAAAATGTGTACTTTGAATTATATCCAGGTACCCCCACACAGTAAACATTTCAGTAATTCAGAGCTAATGCTGCAGTTGAAAATTCAGTTAAGTCAGGCTCGTTTACTTCCAAAAAGATCTGGCTTGTAAGATCTGCTTCTCAGAGAAATACATCTACCATCAATGTTCCTTTCTTTAAATGCATAATACTGCATTCACTCTTCTACAAGGGTCCTCAGCCTTTGGGGCTAAATGGCATATTGGGAATATTGAGCATTTAAATGGACACTATTCCAAAATGGCTGCTGAGGGGCATTCCCATTCACCAGATGGTAGTTGCAGGTCACACAACCTCTTACAAAGCACCAATTTACCAGATTATTACTCGCTAATCCCGCTATCCATCCTCCACTACCTCATGAGATGTTCTGTAGCTTCCAACTAATTTTTCTCCGCTCACCTCTCCCATTTTGGATACTCAAGGTTACGACTGTAGGACTACCGAATTTGAGCTGCCAAATTCCAGATGGTTACAAAGAGTTCGACACATCTTCCCGTAGTTCATAACATGGGAGATGAGGTTGTCATTTTTTAGATTTTCCACAGAATATTGAAAGTGATTGGAAGCCAGTAAATTCCAATTCTGGCCAATCAGAAATTTGCAGTAGCAGTAGGCTGGCAATTTTGAAATTGCTTCAACTCTTTTCACAAGGCTGAATGAGTATAATAGTGTTTTCCAATAGCCTCTCAACAGAATATGGAACATTTTTTGCACATATATTGTCTATACAGGTAGTCTGCAACTTAACAACCACAATTGGGATCAGAATTTCTCTTGATAAGCAAGGTGATTATTAAGTGAGTTGTGCCTGATTTTATGACCTTTTTTTGCCATGGCTGTTAAGCAAATCACTGAAGTTGTTAAGTAGATCACTGTCGTTAAGAGAATCCCGCTTCCTCCATTGATTTTGCTTTTCAGAAGCTGGCTGGAAAGTTGGCAAATGGTGATCACATGACCTCAGGACAAGGCAACCTTTATAAATATATGCTGGTTGCCAAGCATCCAAATTTTGATCACATGACCATGAGAATTCTACAATGGTCTTGAGCATGAGAATCAGTCATAACTCACTTTTTTCAATGCCACTGTAACTTTGAACAGTCCCTAACCAAATAGTTAAATGTTGATGGGGATTCTCAGTCATCCTGGTCATAGTTGTCCAAAAGGTGCTTTTTTCAAAAGGCAACTGGACTTTGTTTTTTCTTGAAGACGTTTCGCTTGTCATCCAAGAAGCTTCTTCAGTTCTAACTCAGAATTGAAGAAGCTTCTTGGATGTAAAACTAAACGCCTTCCTTTGTTTATCCTTTGGGATAAACAAACGGTTATAAGTTGAGAACTATCTGTGTAAGGAAAAGGAAGGGGGAGAAATCTTGAGTCTAAGTGGTATTTGCAGCTCAGCATGCATGACTTTTTGGTTTGTTAGAGTACAATGGGGAGTTGGAGAAAAATCTCAGGAAGAAGCTAGAGAAGATAGAAAGAATCCTGAAGTCACCCTTCCTGTTCCTGCAACAGTGGCATGATTGATGGATGCTTTTCCCACCAGCTAGTGATGTGCTTAAGATGGAGGGCAGGAAAGCCAAGGAAGTGACTGGTTGCTAATCTCGTACAATTGAAACAGCACCATTTGGTGGTGACTCAGAGTATGCAAAATAGAGGCAGAAACTGGATCTGCAAATGGGGTAAATTTCACATTAGAATGACTTTGTTTCTGTCTCAGGGATGGGAGGTGATCAGTGTCACTGAATTGTACAGGAAAGTCTTAAGCCTCAATTGGTTTAAGGTTAAAATTAGTAATAAAACAGTTTTGGTCACTAATTTGCTGAGCAGTAGAATGTTTCAGGGCATCTCTTAATAAGAGTCTTTTAGGTAAGACGAGAGGTATAGAAACTGAATGAATGAATGAATGAATGAATGAATGAATGAATGAATGAAAAAAAGAAAGAAAGAGAAAGAAAGAAAGAATGAATGAAATGAATGAATGAATTCCCTCATGTGATGAGAATAATAGATTAAATCACTTGGGATTATAGTTGTATTGCTTATTTTCAGTTATACCATTTGAGCAATGGAGTCGGTATGGAAGGTAAGGCTAGAAAGAATTGGGAAATATTAATTTCCCAAAACAGAAATTGTAGTATGCCCAACATTTTCTTGCTTATTAGCTTCAGTATTCAAGCAGGATATCTCTATCCCACAATACACAAGCCACCAACCACTAAGATACATTAAAGGAACAACTTCAGTTATTAAGTGAGACATTGAATAAAAAGTGTTTTGCAAAACTAAATAATAGTCTAGTTAAGAAGTATAAATTTTAAAGCTGAAATTCCTGAATTGTTTGGAAAAAAATAATAACCATGTGGCAGTCTGTAATTGCATCGACCCTGTTTTTTATATAACTGAGCAAGTAGAGAAAATATAAAGAATTTTCCTCACAAGTCCAAGTGGTCCTTATTTAACAGCCACTCATTCAGTGACCATTCAGACTTCCAACAATGCTGAATGTGTGGTACTTACAGCCAGTCCTTGAAGTTCCATCCATCAAAGTATCCCAAAGTCAGCCATTTGCAACCTTCTTTGCTGGCTTCTGGCAAGCAAAGTGAATGGGGAAGGTCGCAAATGGCGACCAGATCCTCGCTTAACAACTCACAGTAATTTGCTTATTGGTGTCAACCAGGAATACCAGAATTGCTATTGCTAGGCAACACTATCATGTGGCATCACACTTTACTGCACTCCTTAGCAATGGAAATTCCATAGCCAATTGCATTTGTCACAGAGGATTACCCATAGACACTTTATATGTGCTTTTGTTGAAATGAAAATAATGGGTAAAATTACTACAGAAGTTTTTTTCAATGCAGAAGATAACTGAATGGATTTCTAAAACATGTCTCAGTGGCTGACTTTTTTTTTAACAACCTTGTTCTTAACTAGTTTCATGCATTGATATGATATATAATATTCCTCAAAGATCTCCACATTTGTAAGATAAAGAAAAATTCTTCAAAAGATATTCTGAAACCTGAATCACAAACATGAAATTTTCTCAGTAAAAAGTACCTTGATCTTGTCCGATTATTAAGTTAAGTAGAAGGCAGAGCAATGGACTGTAGAAGCATAGCCTGTTCAGTGATAAATAACCCAGAAATGATTTCATAGTTTTAATCTATTGTCCTGTCATCAGACTGGAGGGCAAGAGGAATATTTTCTCAAGTGTGGAGAACTATAATGTACTACAGGTTTCCAATTCAATAAAAATATACACAAAAAAATGTTATATATGCTAAGGCAGATTTTGAGTGAAAGACAAAACATGCCAACTTTTCTATTTAGAAGGAAAGGACAGGCATACATCAAAGAGAGAAGTGTCTTTTTAATGACCTTTTTAATTCCTACACCTAGCATTAGAAGGTCTTCTAGAAATTTCTAGAAATTTTAATGTTTCTTATCTAGTTAAGAGGTTCATAGTACAGTATATAGGCACCATAACCTCTGCAGCCCTAGATGGTACTAACTCATCCCAAAATATAATATTTTAATGTCCAGAATCTTGCAAAGATAGACAAAGCTTGGAAAATCTTTTATCTCCAACATCACTCAAAGTTGTGCCACAGTGCTGGCATCTGGAAAGATTGCTGACCCACCTATAGGTGAATAAGGAACTCTGCACCTTTTAAGTCTTCTAAATGGAAAGCCTAGATTCTGATCTTACAAAGAAGCAGGACTTTTGTTATCAGTAGGACTGAAGACTCAGATGTGCAGCCTAAAATTCATTGACTGGAGAAAGATACAATGTCTTGTTGTCAACATTCCTTTTTTTCAAGTATTCCTGCCTATGTTTGTCTCTTCTTGGACTTCTACTCATCCAAAGAAGTACTGCTCATCTAAACAGGTTTTGCATTATCCTCTAAACTTCCCAAATGCTACCAGGGCTAATAATGTGGTTGATTACTGCAGTATTACCACTGTATCTTTATAATAAATCATAATTAACAAGCCAAATATATGCCGAAATAACTTATCTATGTTTCATCATACATTAATTGTGAGAATTTTAGAGTTATACCTTTTTCACCTTATAATAAGTAATAAAACCTTATAATAACACCATAGTTTTCACAGTAAATTTGAAATGTCACTCAGGTAGACTGTGAAGTTAAACTCTGAAAGTTTAATAATTACTAAAATATACCTCATATTTAAAACTGCTGTGTTAATGACAGATATTTGTTTTGGATTGCTCTTGAATATTTGGATTCTTTTACAATATTTAAGTGTTTTTCTTACTGTTTTGACACTGTAAAATAAAGCTAAAATTTAAAAATTGTTGATGAAATGTTTCATAAATGTTTTGTTATTGCTCAACAATGTAAAACTATTTTATGTAATTTGGATGTGACTGATCATTGTTTTTTAGAGTTCATAGTCATAAATTGTGAATTGACTTTTATAGTCATGTCAGGAGATGTTTTGGGTTGCCTTATTTCTTGTTTACCTATGGTTCCACATTATTGTTTTATTTATTTGTTTTATTTAGCCATGACACATATAAGGTAGATATCCAAGTAATGGATACCTATGAGGATATCTAAGGGGAAAAAAAACTTTTTAAATGTATAGCACCAGGTGTGCCCATGGGCAGAAGAGTGGCCAAATAATCAAGATGGCAGATATGGCTGCACAATCAAAACCTCACCTTTGTAAAAAAAGCAAAGCAGAATTTCAATCACAAGACCATAGCCAAAATCTAGACTTTTTTTCATCCTCCCTGAAGATGCCTCTTACAGCTCAGTAGGGTTAGTTTGAAGCAATGTTTTTTATTGTAAAATAAAGGAAGGTAATATAACAAACAACAAACGTAACAGATGCTCTTGCTAGAAAGTGTAGTGATTAAAATAAATTGTGTACCTTTCCGATTAAAGTGTTTATTAAATTAATCATGGTAATTGGAGGACATTAGGAGTTCTATTCAACAGGAAACTAGTTTCCCAGATAATAAATGAAGATAACGATTCTTATTACTTTTTAATTTATGAAGATATTACATTTCACTGTCCGTTTGTTTTTTAATATATGTCATTTTCTAAACAGTGTGCATGCTTGCTGACATGTTTGTTCTGTTGAGGTAACAGTAACTGAAATCACATTTAACCATAATTGTATTGTTCTAATTTCCTTCATCTGACAACACTAGAATATTAATCCCATGTTAGCACTGGCATGCATGCATGCATTCACTTTGCTGAGAAAACATTCAGCTACAGGTTTTTGATGCAATTCTTCATTTTCTTGAGCCACAGGCTGGATTCACCTAGCACCTCTAAGCCATGATATGGCTTCTTTAGTTTTGGTTTAGCAAATATGTGAACTATATCTTTTGTGAATCATGATTTATGTCTTTGCATGATTATGAATTCAAATATATGTTGTTTACTCAATCAACTGATAAAGTAAACCATGGCTGTTCTGCCGAAGAGTAAGTGGGTCAGCTGGCTTCTATTGGTCAGTATCCAGCATGCTATTGTACCTACGTGGATGCTGCTTCCCGATTAGAGTCAAACTGTGTTTTCTGAATGTATTGCTAAAGACATTTGTTTTCCTTATTCAGAAGCAAGCAGAGAAATGTGTTGGAAGGAGACTTACATCTTTGTCTCCTTTCAAATTGTGGTCATGCTGTTTGATCAGGATCATCACTTTGAACAACAGTGAACAAAGAGTTAAATCACTCCTAAATTAAGCCCTTTGGGGTACACACACACACACACACACACACACACACTTTATATTCAAAGTAATTTTCAGTTTGAACCTTTTTCAGTGTCAGAAACAGAATCAGGAATCAGAAGTAGTAAAAACAGACCTCAGCATTTTCAAATCCACAGCTTATGCATTCAAATATGTATTTCTGACCCATGTTATCATTTATTTCAATATATTTCCTTTTTAGTATTGTTGTGACAATCTAAAATTGTGTGACTGAACAATGTGAACTGACCCTGCATTTGGAAATAAGCAATTCAAAATTGGTTTCTCTCAGCTATCTGCTGTATCTATCTTCATCCTTTAATTCCCTTAATGTCCCTTAAACCTTTTGCCCATCAAGAAGAGGATGCCTTTGATGCCTGACAGTTTTTCAGAACCATTGATTAGCCTTCCCATTTTCTGGCAGTAGAAGATGGAATTTGTTTTAACGTCCTGCTTTTTCACAAAACCACTTTGTGTCTCAAATTATAGCTCTTTCAAATATCTGATTAGAGTTTTATAACATGGATGAATATAAAGATGCACAATTGTCTATAAGCTTTCTCTTGATTTCACTGAAGACATCTGAAACTTTTTTTTCCAGAATTGCTTATACAACTTCATAAGGGGAAATCTATTCATATAACTTCAAAACTGGACTTCAGTCTTAGGGAACCAGCAGGAGGGCCTTTTTGTTTTCCTCAGAAACAACTATTTTGAAGGCCACAGATCCACCCAGGCCTACTGGATCTTTATGAACGTTCTCCATGTCTATCAAAATGGAATTCTAATATTCCCAAGGAAAAAAATGCTATTTATATCTCAAAGAAGTGGCTTCCCCGCCTGTTCTTATTTTTAATAATTTCCACATGTATCACTATTTTCCATATAGTCCACTGATCATGTAGAGCAGCCTTTTCCAATTTAGCACAGTCCAGATGTGCTGGGATTGTCACTCCCAGAATTTTCACCCAGTGTGGACATAAATTATGTCAGAAAGGTGGCTGATCAAGGAAAGCTGATATAGGTAGTCTCTATACTAGTGCAAACTTAAATTCAGATCCCCATGCCCATGCTGTGGTTAGGTTCTTATATTGTGCTAAGCCATCATGTTTTTATGGTATATTGTGAACTTAATGCAGTATGTGAACAAACTCAATACAATACCCGAATAACCTTGAATTTTTTAGCAACCTTCACATATAAAGCATGCAATGGTTACATCATTCTGTAATTATCCGTTCCTTGGTAAACCAAGCACAGATACTTGAACCTAAATTTCCTGTGTTTAAACAAAAGCTATATTTTACCCTGTACTTGTTTTGGCAGTTCATTGCTGCTGAAATCTCAGGTTGCAAGTCATATCGTAATACGCCCTGTGCTCAGCACTTTTAATGATATCCTAAACTTACCGCAAAGTTGTTCACTTCTCTGCCAATTCCCCATTAAACTTATTTTCAAGTACTAACAAAAAGAATCCATTGTTTTCCCTTTCACTACACCTTCCTGTCTTCAAATCCACTTTAGTCCAAATTAGGCAAAATTAATGCCAGTAAATGGTTAAATATACCTAGCCAGCACCTTTTATATCAACCTCTGCTCTTCTCCATTGGGAATTTTCTATGTATAGGAAGTATGTACAATATTGCTTAAATTTCCTGCATAGGAAAATAAATTAAAATGTTCTTTGAGGAAAGAGTCTAACAAAACTTTAACAGTGTCATTTCAGGGCACTCTTATTCCGTTTGTATTTATCTTCTCTAGGCTACAGAGGACAAAAAGGTGAAAGAGGTGAGCCTGGAATTGGCCTGCCAGGTGATCCGGGCCCACCTGGTCCTTCAGGTAAATACAATTCCTCCTATTCTTGATAATACTGCTGGATCCCTGACTAAAATTAGCAAGGCTAATTGCAGTTTCTTGTTTGTTTGTTTAGTTATTGGTATACAAGGCCCACATGGAGCTCCAGGAGAACCAGGTGTACAGGGACTACCTGGCCCTGCAGGAAGATGCAATCCAGAAGATTGCTATTACAAAGTTTCTCAAAGTCAATCCCGAACAACTGGGAAATGAACACATATTTTGGATACATTTAAATTCCTCAGTTATCTTTTCCTCACTTCTTCCCCCCATCCCCCTATCAAATTTTGAAATTTAAGTTTTAAACTATTGGTGAATTTCTGTCTATGTATATTTTACAGAGCATCTCAGTGGAACCATGTCCAGATTAAACAACTGAGATGTTGTTTTCTTGAGTTCATTCCATATGTTTATACTTTTACTGTATTTTTCTTTAGCAAAATGTGTATCATGATGGCCTGTTGACTTCTTAATGGTTTTTTAATTTATGAGTTGTTTTTTTAATGAGTTTCTTACTTTTACCTTTAACACAGAAGCCATATTTAGTTTTCTTTTGCTGGATTTTGCAGTTCCATCTATTCAATGACAAATATAGTTTATAATATGGTGGAATTTTGAAGTTTTTCTTAAAGTTTGGTTAAAAAATCTAAGTAGTGACTGGCATTTTCCTTGCTTCTGTCACCATAATGCAATATGGTAAGATCTGCAAGGCTTTTTTTAATGGTGTCTACATTTCTGAATGACCTAAAAGACTTTTGAGTAATATTACCCTATTCGGGCTGCAAATTTGGAACAACTAAAAGGCAGTAGCAAAGTGATACAGAAAACTCGTAAGTCTAGCAATGCTCTAGTCTAGGTATTGCAGAGAAGATCTAGCATTCTTAACTTCTGAGTCTCTCTCCCATTAGTTGTTACTCAGGGGAAAATGTTGTAAATGCAGACAGCACCTAAGTAAACTATGGCTTAAGTTATATACTCACATTATAGAAGCGAGTTGTAAGCATGTTTTTTGGGGGATTTTCCTTCCTATAAGGAACTGCTTGTAGGGTTTTCCTTGCATATGTGAAAAAGAGTTTGATTATTAGAAGCTAATTTAGTTTTCAGCAGGATTGCTGGTAATAACTTGTCCTAGTTAAAATATACATTTGCAAGTCAGCTCTACTACAGGATGATTATAACAATTATAATACTGTGCAAATCCAATCACAGTATCTATAGTCTATAGTCCTGTCAGCCCCATTTGGTAGACTAGACCAGGAAATCAGTGGCACAAGAAGACTGGAAGTAATCTCACTTTGTTTTTTATATAACTTTATAAATTTTTTTAAAAGGGATTTAAAAAAATAGAAGCAGTTTTTGTTGAAGTTAGTTACAGCAACAGAATCTTTGGGTCTGGTTCAGCTCTATTTTCCCTTCCCCCCCACCCCCACCAAATCAGGGAGGTGTCTGCTTAATCCACTGTTAAATATCTTGTTTTCCAGAACTTTTTTAAAAAAATGTTTCAGCCCCCTTTCCTTAAGTTATGGTTCTTGCATATTTCTACCAAGACCATTTTTCTTATCATCTACAAATTCTTCCTCAGGATGTTTTGTGGCCTCTAGCCAACATGCAAGTGTCCTGCTTTTTGTAGACAATAGAGTATTGTTCAGTACTATACACCTAGAGAACACAAGATTATAGAAGATTGTACAAATGTAATGAATTTTCAAGGTTTATTGTAAGACAATCAGGGCTTTAGCTCGGGTAAAATTCTGACAGACTCGACAGAGAATTTCTGCAAGTAGCTATAGTTTGGAAAGAAGTATCTATCATCTTACATCTTGATCAGCGATATTTGTTGGACTCCTTGTTTTTGTTGGACGGGGAAGGAGAAGAGTAGTCAAACATCAGCAATCCCACTTATCTTATATATATTGATATAAGATAGGCTAGTTGGCACACACAACCTTTACCTGAAAAGGTACCTAAAGGTACACACAACCTTTACCTGAAAAATTCAAGGATTGAAGCAGATTCCCATTTCATTTATCTTGAGGAGAAAATGATTGTATAAAGTGAAATAAAACTGTTTGGCAGAGATATTTAGTAGCATTAGATAATGAATAGCATTGGCATCTAGGACTAATGAAACCGACGACTGTCTCCTGGCTTAATTCCTATTTTAACAAATTAACTGGACTTTTTAGCTCTTTCACGAATAGATTTATCTATATGAAAGCTATTTTTTTGAAAAAAGGAAAGTGCCTAGGTAGAAATAGTAAGGATTAGTCGAAGTGTAGTTCCTTGTTGGTGAGAAATCTTTTATATCTCATGTAAACAACTTATAGTAGCTGAGAACCATACTGGGCAATTTGTTGGCAGCTGCAGCTGTAGTAGAGTAGATAGTGATATAATTTGTTCTAAATTTGTTCTGAAGTTGCATCATTGTCCTGTTTTGATGACGCAAAAGGACATCTATGTTTCAGTATTGCAAGATGGACTGCCGGATAGCTACGATGTCTGGCAGGATTTTGTTTTGAGATTTTAATCTTGTTTTATTTAAACTTTTCTAGTGATCCCCAATTTAATTCAGATTTTCAATTTTTTTTAATTTAAAATTTATTTTATTTAGACTTTGCTATGAGAATAACTATAAGTGCTATATTTTGGCAAGATTCTGTAAAATGTCACATTTTGGAAATATATAGAGTAGCCGAGATTATATATAATATGATGCTTTGTGTATATTTTGACTTTTCACTGAGTGAAATATAAATGATAAATTATTTAGCATTTTACATAAAAGTAAAAGTATAATACTTGAATTGATCAGAAAAACAAAACATTTATATATTTTGGGGGAAATATGTTCAATTCATATTGCTTTTATTTTTATTTGCCTGTGTTTGGTAATTATATTTATTAGAAAAATCATTTGTTCAGAGTTTTATTAGGTGATTGAGATAAATGTAAGTTTTTTCCTCTTGGTTTCCTTCCTGAGAAATTTTGGCAATATGACTTTCCATCATCAACTCTTAAAGCTATTATGTAACTTTGTGCAAGAAACAGGCCAAACTCAAAGATTGCTTAAAAACGTTCATGAATTGCAGCACACCAAGATTTCTATTCTTATCCTTAAAATCTACATTTGTGTGTGTATATATGTCAAATTTTAGTTCGTTTTAACATTTTGAAGAGTGTATTGCTCTTTAAACCCAAATAACCTATTTTGTTTTTCTAGTGCCTTTCACGTGGTTTTTAAATAGTAAAGTTTATTCTAATATTTTAAAAAATAATTTAGGTATTAGTCTGAGCAGCCTATTTTAACTGTGGTTCATGATATTTTGAGGCGTGCATATTTTTATTCTTTGTGTGCCACACAACAGGCAGCTTTAATAACTACTTTTTAAGTAAAATATTTTTTTTCTCTATCAATAGAGTCAATCATTTCTGAAACTGTTAAGTGATACTGAAACCATAAATTGAAATACAGAGGATGTATTCAAATAGAATGCTACAAATCAAACCTCTGTGGAGGAAAAAAAAAGTATATTTTCGTATTTATGCACCCTTTTAAACAGACTGCAAGAACCATTGGAAAACTAGTGGATGTCTTTGGATCTAAGGTCTGTGAATAAGACTAAGTGACTGAGTGATAAGAGGTCTTGCATTGGAGCATCCACAGCTAATCTATTTCTGCAGATAGAATCAAAGCACACAACCACTTAGTAAATTGTAAGCATGGAAATTGGGACATTCAATTTAAGAATGGACTCCAGCAAAACTACACTCAGTTTAGGAGTCTGTTTTCAAATTCTCTCTCTCTCTCCCTCTCTCTCTCTCTCTCTCTCTCTCTCCCTCCCTCCCTCCCTCCCTCCCTCCCCCCTCCCCCTCTCTCTCCCCTCGCCTATTTCCAGAAAGAAAGGATTACTATTACACTGGTACACAGTATGTCCTTGAATCTGGAATAATGAGGGCAAATTTTATTGAAAATGCCTCAGTTTACCCTATGGTATCTTGTACTGATATCTGTCGGGATACACAAAAGCTGCTTTTCTTCTTTGTCCTCCAACACTTTTTCTGTCTCTTAGCCAATTACTAAAATTTTGTAGCATGGAGCACTCTTTCTTTTTAACTTATGAATATGATTTAATAGAGTTTGAATTATATAAATGCATATATAATAGGAAACTGTGCACTAAATAATAAATAAACTTGTTCAAGTTTCCTTTTTTTTTTTTTGTCTTTACACGATAATATATTTATCATTGTTTTTCTTTTCTTTTTTTGGTCTTAGAATTAATGTATAAATAAGGGAACAATTCAGGCAAGGTTATATTTGTTTTTTTTTCTTTAAGTCTCATTGTTTTCAGCAGGAGATAACTTAAGCAGATGCTTATATCTCCCCTTTGAATCAAAGGGATTTGATAATGCTTATCTTTGGCTGGATAATCCTCATTCTGTATTTTTTTCCCTCCAGAATACTTTGAATATAATCACCATTTATTTAATATAGCTTGTACATAATAGGGTAACAAAGGCTTGGACACAATCTTGCTCCTTCCACATCTGTGTGTGTAAATGGGGCAGAATCCTTACTGGGTTTCTGGCAATCCCCATTTTGTTCCACATTTCTTTATGGGAGTAGTATGTATTTCAATCTTTACATAAATGAAAATGCCTTGGTACCAATGTGGAAGCTTTATGCTATCTATCTCAGATGTTAAATTTTAATATCAATATCTTTATATAAAAAGTCGATTTGGTTTTAGCTAATATAAACCTGGGTGTTGCCTTTTCTTGTCTTTAATTTAGTTTACACTTTATTATCCCATAGGGGATGCAGTGGCTCAGTGGCTAAGATGCTGAGCTTGTTGATCGAAAGGTCAGAAGTTCAGCGGTTCGAATCCTTAGTGCCATGTAACCGGGTGAGCTCCCGTTACTTGTCCCAGCTTCTGCTAACCTAGCAGTTCGAAAGCACACAAAAAATGCAAGTAGAAAAATAGGGACCACCTTTGGTGGGAAGGTAACAGCGTTCTGTGCACCTTTGGCATTTACTCATGCCGGCCACATGACCACGGAGATGTTTTAGGACAGCACTGGCTCTTCGGCTTTGAAACGGAGATGAGCACCACCCCCTAGAGTCGGGAAGCATATATGTGTGAGGGGAACCTTTACCTTTACCTTATTACCCCATGCAAATGTGTTTGATATATATACACAGCACAGGTTTTTCATACCTCTGATAACCATTAAGAAAACACAGGTCATTATGATGATGGTTGTAAGCTTTCAACTGCAAATGTTTTTGAGTGAATTTTAAAACTGTAAGGAAAGATGATAAATATAATAGACCAAATGGATGTACAAACTTTACAGGAACCAAAATGAATGTCACAGTCTAACAATTAAAGGTGCTTAGTTCTCTGATCTTTTGAGTTTAAGCAGGCTTACTTTACTGTTAGATTATGATCTTGGTTCATTGTTGCTGTTTTCTTTTATAAAATACAGATGCTTTTAAATTATTTTCTGAACTTTTCTATGTAAATATTTATTTATCTCATGTGTTCACAACAATTGATGAAGGCATATTTTATTGTTGCCTTTTCATTACTGAATAATATTGCCTTATTATTGTCCTTACATCTCTATTTTTGTTTTCTTCAAATCCACAAGTGAAAACTTCACTTGTTTGCATATGGTATCTTATCTGCTTTAGTCTTAATTTTGAATGGCATTGAATTGAACCTGAAAGATTTGTGTGTGTGTGTGTGTGTATGCATTTATCATAGTGAACTTGTGGTTATTTATTTATTTTTTAAATCAGCCACATTTAATTTGTAGTTGGTTCAGAATTTTATAAAATTCAATTTCAAAGTTTTGATAGAATTTGTATTTCCACTTGGTTTATATTGTTAAATTTCATTCAACAATTTCTCTTTTCAGTTTCTTCTGTTGTTTATTTAAGTTACTGCTATATTTAAAATAAAAATTTACTGATGGAACCACAGGTTTAAGATTGTGTTTCTTCTTACATGCTGTCCAGATCCTATGCAAATTATTTAATAGATTAGCATTTGTGAGTAATAGTGTATATAGCAGTGCAATCAGAGTATTTCGCTCCATAAATATTACTAACAAATTTATAACACAATCTTAAACATCTTGACTCAGAAGGAACATTCATTGAATTCCACAGATTTACTCCTAGGTAAGTATGTGAGTATTGAATTGCAGCACCAATTTATAATTCATACACTTTAATACATAGGAAATTGATATTTTAAAATGGTAAAGAAGGGCAGAAGTAGTTTTCAAGAGACCATTTTCTCTACAGACTGTTGGCAGGTCTAAGGTATTTTGATGCTGGAGGACAAAGGCATTATATATACATATAGACTCATGTAAACATGTACACCAGGGGTGGTTCTACTTACCTTTACTACCGGTTCGCAATGGGGCTGCCCGCGCTGGTTATCACATTGGTGGAGGTACTCAAGGTCCCCTCCATTAAACACTGCCCTCGTGTGGGACATTGGAAGCATGCTTTCTCTAGTGTTGTCCCCAGCCTCAGGAATAGCATTTCCCCAGAGAAAAGAAAAGCCTCCTCCCGCCTAGGATTCCAGAAACCTTGGGAAACCTGGCTTTGGTCCCAGACCTGGGACTGATATTTACTATTTGTTCAATGACCCCTATTTTGCCATCTATTAGATTATTTTAGGCTGGGCTGCCTACGTGAGTCAATGTTTTTAGCTATTTCTATGTTTTCCTACTTTTCTAAGCCACTAGATTCCAGTAGAATTGGCCAGTCAATGAATTTAAATAAACAAACAAACAAATAAAATTCATTTATTCTGGAAGCATAATTTTCATAGGAAGTGGAAGGAAAAATAATTGAGGAACGTAAGAGCTCATCTAAGCTGAGTGAGTTCTATGTTATAAGTAGGTATTAGTCAGCCCACTTTCACCTGACTTTGGTTTTCCAGCACATGAAAATTGGTGTGGAAACTACATATACGTGTGTATATATATCTATAATGTTTTCCCCATATCTGCCAAGCAAAATCTGCCAGGCAAAATCAAAGCTTTCTTCTACGTTGGGTTTCGGTTATTTTTCTATCTGTCATCAATCACAGTAGCTGGCACTCGTCACAAACAAATATTTGTACAGACCTTTCTGAATTTATAAGAAATAGCCCAATTACTATGACTGCATTTTGATCATTGGTGTATTTTGTATGCTACTTGTTAAAAAAAAAAGCAATTTGCAGTAGTTTAGCAAATAAATTAGCCTGAACAACCTGGACAATACGAACTTGAGGGATTCATTGGAATAAATTATCAAGAAGGCACAGGTGAAAATAACCACATAATTCATTCTCAACACGCAGAAACTAAACAAAAAGAAACAGGAAAGTGGTGTTTATTATTTTAAAAGAGTACTTTTATTTTTGAATTGCAAATGACAGCATGTGTTTCATAAAATAGGGATAATTATAAGGGATGTCTGTTTCATGAAAAAATAAAGCTATGCTCAAAATGCATTACAATTTTTGGAGGATGTTATATACTTGTTTTGTTTTTTACTACTTCCAATTTTTTTCCAAAAGGGAAATAAAAAATGCTCTTCGTTTTACTTTCATTTACCTTCTATAAAAATGCAAAGGATTAAGTAAGGTTATTTATTTCATTTGTATACAATCAGAGATAAGATATTTATAAATAAATAAACTCAGCTATAAATTTTAACTGTTCTCAAAAGATTAAAAATCCTTTCGCAGTGGTTTAACTTTTAGATGTTTCAAACAGAGCAGAAAACTAAGTTTATTTCACCTGACATATTCCTGGTAAACCTGGCACTGAAACACTATAAATATATATAAACTCCTCAGAAATTAGCACTTTTAAAAACAGTGTGACTACATCTAGATCTCAGGCTACTTATATCACTAAAATGGGCCCTAGGGAGAAAGGAAAGAAACTGGGATAACTTACTATTCCAATGCATTAGACTGTACAAGAGATGGTTGTTATGTACTCTAGAAGTAAGTACTTTAGGAACCTCAAAGAACTAACAGCTGAAAAAACATCTACTGCCTTTCATCATAATTCAAGAAAGAAAAGAAAAGCCACTTGGCATCACTTTGTAAAGCACCATTTTGAAACGTTTAACTGTCTTGTACTGTTTTAGGAAACAGATGGAGGGAACAATCAGAACATTTAGATCTGTCAAGGCCTTGATAAGATTTGCTGTATTTTTTACAGTCTGATTTTTCTAGACTGTTTCTCTTGGCGGTCGGTTGATATCTGCAAATCAAAGATGGCTTCATGTCATTTTGTTCAATGCTATATTTTTCATGGGCCTTTAACATTCTGCCCTCCTTGTAATCCAGCTTCCATGGTACAGGCTGACTGTTCACAATAACCAGGAGGACCTGGAGGGCCAGGAGGACCAGGAACACCAGGGGAACCAGCGGTTCCAGGTGGGCCTCTCTCACCATCTCGCCCATCAGTGCCATAACTGGGCTTGCCGGGTTCTCCTGCAAAGACAAAAACCAGGCCATAAGTTTATAAAAAGCATCTAATATCATTTTGTTGTAGTTTTGAAAGTCTTATTTGCATGGATGGTTGCATCAGCCTCGGTCTCTCCTGTTAATCTAACCCCATGTAGAAGATCCAAAGTATTAGCGGAGGCTTTCTACACAACTGGGTCTTCTGGAAAACTGAATCTCCAAAATCTTAACACAGGATACTTGTTGCTATAGACCAAGGTTGTCAAACTCACGGCCCACAGGCTGGATGCGTCACACACTGGTCACACCCACACCTGGTTTAGCGAAGAGGAAAAAAGTC